GTTGAACCTTCTAGTCATCTTTCCATGGGCCTCATCCAGAATTCCCTGGAGATCAGGCAGTTCATTCCACAATCATTTGGTCTGGAATCATGTTTGAGGAATAAAAGCCGTGTGGAAGAACCCCCTCAGACTGGGAAAGCCTTGTCCCAGGATAATGTCAAAAAGCAATTCAGAGGTCATCTTACCCAGACAAAAAGGCTCGTTCCCCTCTCCCCGACCCCGCCTTCCACTGGAATCTTAGTCATGGTCATAAAACCTGGATTTACCTTAGTACACAGCCCTAAAGTAAATATCTGTTGAGAGATGCACCTTGGGAAAATAAGAGTACATTAGATTAAACTACAGATGCATCTGTATCAAGAAGGGCTTTCAGTGCTTGGCCGTTGACTACTGCAGCTATCAGTTGTAATGTAATTGTAGAAGCATGGTATCAACCACCTAATATTCAGGTAAGGGACACTGTCAGTCTGCTGTCCTCCTATATGACAGTAACAATTTACTTCATACATTTTTTTTTACAAAACTTCAATTTTACATAAAGGTTTTCCATTTAGGCCTCATATGGACCTTTTAGCTCAGGAAGAACGTGAACTATATTGTACCCTTGTCTATACTGTACCCTTGTCTAGCATTTAAATAGGATTCTGCTTTCTCCCATAGACGATGAAGCAAATGTTATGTGCTGAAGTAATTGAAATTAATAGGGCCATAGATACAAAACTATAAGTGTTCACTTAAAAACTTGTAACATACGTATTAATAGCTTTAGGAGGAACTAATTAATATTAAACAGGGAAAATGGGAATTAGGAGCAAGTTTTCACGTTCATAATTATGTTAACATTTTTATAATAATTTCATTATAAAAATTACATCTTACAATTCAGATCTTTGCTATGGTTGTAAATGCTGCTGAAGAGCTTACTCTTCCACCTCTATCTTATCTGTTGAAAAGTTATGGGAAACTAAAAAATTTGCACATATTGTATGACTTTGATCCTAATACTGATTTCAGAATGTTTGTTATAGATCACAATTACATTATCGCCATCATCATTTTTTCAAATCATATATAATTAAATAAAGATGCATACTAGAAACTAATTCTTGGTTGTTGCGTTTTCTCTGCATATTATATTCTAATTTGCCTCTTTGATTACATATGAAAGAGAGTTACTTCATAATATCTCCCTTACTTCTACAGCAATTGACTTCATGGTATTTGGAAAGGCAAAGAGAAGAACAGAACAAAAAAGGCATGTTTGATGAACATGAATGGAAATCTCTTCTGTTCAAATGCAGGAAGTTGGGAACCAGGGTATTGTCTGAACGTTGAAAAGCTTTTCCTTGCAAAAGAGCAATAAGTTATCTTATTGTCATTTCAGTGTCTACTCTAAAGATGAAACCAGACGTCACAAATGAAAGAAGCAGGATAGGACAGGTATTCTTCCTGTCTCTTTCTCTGCTCCAGCCAATGGTTTGAGAACAAAGGAGAACGTAATATTGCATGATAACATCGTATCATACATTGTATTTATAAGAAATGTCATCTGGAGGAGATGTGGAATGCAGATACCGTAATTCTACGTCTCTTGCAGTGCCTAAATATTCCTGGAGACAAGTAAGTATCGCTATACCGTTTAATTCTTTTCCCCGATGGAAAATTATTTGGCAACTCTTAGTCAAGAGCAGTCTGATTTTTAGCAGCTGTCAAAAAGCCCCCAAAGTATAGGCATGCTTTCTTCTCTCCAAGCAGACAAAACATCAAAAGAAATAGGAGGCTTCACCGCTCACCTCCTCCTCCAGGTAATATTTGTTCTCTGGGGAGAAAAGCAACAAGCCCCAAACACTTTGGAAGAAGGTCACATTTTATTCACACATTCCATTGTTTTTGAAATTGTTGCAATGGTTTCTATGGTGACAGACACTGCGCATTTTTAGTAGAGAATGCATAAGGAATTTTTGCATATTGGGAAAGAAATCAGAATGTAATCCACATAATGAGTTAAGGAATGTGTATACCTTCTCTCCAACTTTTAGGTCAAAGTATCTAAATCTGCGTATTATCCACTAATTTAATTCAGATGAGAATAAGATCAGAACTGTTGTCAGAAGGGCAGAATTAAAGAAAGTTTTAATTCAATAGAGTAGCCTGCAGCCCATTGTTAGTGATAAACACAAGAGGAAGAAGAGGAAGTTATTTTGAGACAAATTACAGATGTCTACTTCATCTCAATATATGGATTATTTTTGCGCATTTTGAACAAATCATTAAAACCGATCTGCTAGGATGATGATACAAATGCAGCCAAAACAAGCTGTGGCCAGGTTTTTGCCTCATGAAATGTCCCTGACGGTGGAGTGATGTAATCCATTTCCAGTTGTGCCCTATGGTCTTCATGAACAACACACTACATTCCAGAAGTATTGATAAACCATTCTAGATAGGCTGTGCTTTAGCACAGAACAAAACTGGGAATATATTTGTTTAGGCCGTAACAAAACCTGCCATAATCCTGGGGTGATTTTATAAGACAGCTAAGGCAAGGCTGATGAGAGTTGCCATGCCAGGAGCATATTTCACTGGCCCACTAACCTGTTCTTTTTAGCCCTTTCTTTCCTTCCCCTAAACTACACCATTGCTGGTATCCCAAAGATGCATATCCCACTGGCTGAACTCCCAAATTTTCCCTGACCTGCTGTTTTCCTGGCTTTTCCTGTTCCTCCTTTACCCCCAAAACCTGAATCTCATGATGGTCTTTATCCAAAGCAAAACAGCTATGTTTCATGGTGAATCTACACCAAGCATACATATTTGGTTTGGACATTAATTATCTGAGATCAGTTGTTCCATATATGGACCCACTTCATTCATCCTACGCTCTTCCTATGGCTGAACTGCAGCAGCTTCCTTCCCCCTTCCCCTCCTTCCGTTAGTGAATTGATCTGCAGGCGCAACAATCTCGGTGAAGTTTAAACAGTCAAAAATGGACATAAGCTGGACAAAAATTCCATCAGTCAGTAGGAAAGTTGCACAATTATATCCTCAGATACACCTATTTCAGGAAACATTCCAACTACTGAAAGAAAATCCAGTGAACTAGCCTTTATAAATTCTCCTGAATGCAGAGACTTACAATAGTCATTTAATACCTTGGACTTTTGGCTTTTAACAAAGATGGGCTGTTTCAATATCGCAGCACTAGAAATATGACGCTCCCTTATCCTGTAGATCCCTCAACCCACAGAAAAATAATCTTCCCCTGTAATTGCTGTTCTGGCACATTTAGTTCTAGAGTTTGCCTCAAATCAGATTGCTGCTTTTGTGGAAGCAGCCAGAAAATAAAGGGTGGGAGGGAACACCCAAAGTAACTTACTTTCAACTAGAGTTCTTCGCCCAGTTCCATCATCATTGATTTGCTGGATATTGCCAAAATGAATGTCACTGTAGAATATGCGGTTGCTGCCCTTGCTGCCGTGGCGGTAATCAAAGGCCAAGGCGATGACGTTTTTCATGTGCTCACTGTCTTCAAATGGCTTAATGGGTGCGTTGAGATTGTTCTCATCGGATAAGTGGATACTTTTGAGAATGGTCCGTTCTGAATAGAGCAGGTACCCATCGTAGTCACGGCAGCTTACGCCGTCCTCAGCGAGCATTCCATGGGCACAGGCACATGTCCGCTGACCTGCTCCTCGATACAGACACAATTGCTGACAGTCACCATTATTCTGCGCGCACACATTGGTACCTGTAGAAAAGGAACATAAGAAAAATTAGCTAGGATCAGGGTTAGTGTACAGCCCGTTTCTATGTCTCTGGAGGCTTTTTAACTCGGGTAACTGACTCCACCCTCATTGCTCATAGTACCACTCAATCCCTCATAGTACCACTCATAGGCTTTTTCACCTACCCTTTTGCCTGTCTCTGTTGAACACCTTGATGTCCTTCAGCTGTACTCCTATTCCTGTGCGTAGAGACACAATTTCTGTTGCGTTGTCCTTGCTGCCCCTTTTAATGGAACCATTTGCGTGAGTCCTAGAAGGGGGCAAAGTTAAAGATGCAATTATGAGATATTCTACTATGCCAGCATAGCTCTTATACAGCAAAATACAATGAGGAAACTATTGTTTATAACACTCTGACACAAAATCTTCAGTTCATATACATGATTCAACAGGCATGCATACTGATATATATTAATTTTCTTACACACAGATATTATGGATAATCCATCCATACTTCACCTCAATTAGCAGATCTAATTGACACAAACACATGCATATCCATAAAACTCAGCATATTTTCCCTTCAAAAGACTGAATAGGTTTGCATGGAAGAGGGTTGAGAAAGATGTAACAATCTAAATCCGTAATGAAGTTAGCTCTGTCTGAACACGAATGAAATGTAGTTGCTTGCAAAACACTTCCAGACATGACAAACAACACTGAGATACAAACCTGTCACTCCAGTAGACATAATCCTCAAAGACAGATACCGAGAACATATCCATGTTGTTACTGGATAGGACAACCTCCCTCTTATCGCCAGTCTCTAGGTCTATGCGTTCAATCTTATCTGTCCGAGCATCACACCAGTAAAGTTTCCCATCCTAAAAAGAGATCCAGATGACAATCCATCTTGTAAATTATAAAACACAACTGAGGATACCAGAGTGAATGTAAAATGCAGGCAATCAGTTCCCAACCATGTATAATTTCCCCTATTCTCAGCTCGAATCATACCCCAGCAAGTAAATAAATGGGCATATAAACTGCTGTTACTCCAGTGGAAGAGGGATTGTTTAAAGCCATGAAAGGTCAGAAGTTGAGACAGAACTGAGAAGGACTCCCAGCTGAGCAAGTGACATTGCTGGGTTCCTTTTCTTAACACAAACAAATGCGTTGCACAAAACTGGATTTTGCTGGATTGCATAATTCAGGCTTATCACGCGTACGAATTTTAACTTACCATGACGCTGAATTATGTTTCTGCGTTAAAGCACATAATCCTATTTATTTGCTGTTATTCTAAGGGTGCAACGGGGCAAGGCATTCCTAAGATGCTAAATGTGCCACTCAACATTCATTTTTCAACTATGATTTTTGGTTGGACAGACAGGAATCATTGTGTCTAATGCCCACAGCCTCAGGATCTTACTTCATAATCGACAGAAATCCCATTGGGCCAGCTGATGCTGCTGTTGATGAGGACCACACGCTCTGTTCCATCCAGCCGAGAACGTTCAATACGAGGGTACTGGCCCCACTCTGTCCAAAAAAGGTATCTGAAAAAGCGGACACAAGACAGTGCCAGGACAGTTAACAAATCACATGTTCAGCCAAAGTTGCCACTGGATTGTAATTTTTAATGATAGGAAAAAAAATAAAGGAATAAAACAAAAAGTTAACCCATGCAAAATCTAGGAATAGCCTTTTCCAATTGGATGGCCTTTAAAGGATTGGGATTACTATTCCCGGAACTGGGAGTCTTGCCTTTCCCCATTTCCAATCCATCATTGTTCCAATGCCTCAAATACTCCCAACCTGTTCCCATTATGACCAGTCTAAGAAATTGCACTCAATGAAAAGGAATCTTACCCTTTCTCTGGGTGTACTGTAATGGCACGTGGCTTATCCAATCCCTGTGAAATCACTACATAGCGGAATGAACCGTTGAGCCTGGCGACTTCAATGACATCAAAGCCCTGGTCTGTCCAATAAATGTTTCCTGGAGGGAAAGAGATACAAGGTTAGGACTTAATTGATTGCTCCTTCCTTGTTTCCTGTGAGAAGGAGGGTTTCCTTCCCACACTCAGTTGCTGTTGCTTGCTCATCTACGCAGCGCAGCCACACCTGCAATCCAGTCCACAGCAATCCCTTCCACTCGGCCAATGCCATTGGTCACGACATCCTCTCTCCAGGTCTGGTCCCGTTTGGCTCGACTGATTGTGCTCATACCCATGTCCACCCAATAGATAGTGTCATTATCTGAAGGAGAGAAAAATACACATGGGAGGTTGAAAGAGGGGGTTTGGAGTGATGCTATGTACCTGATAATCACCCAAATCAGTTCCTGGGTTCCCCAAACCCACTTCTTTTCAGCAGCTGACAGTAATTCAAATTAGTAAAAGCAGAATAGCAGGTTTAGTGGACCTTTAACACATTTAGCCACAAAGACCATAAACAAATCATCTTGCACTTTACTTGATAAATAATTTTTACTTTGTTATAGAGTTCTTCATAAGTATAGTTGTTTCAAGGCTAAGATTTTGTCTGCATCAAAAAACATATCTCTCGAAATAATTCTTTTTTTTTTTTGGCATACATTTACCACTTTATTAAAATGCACTGATCCCTTTCATTCACTATGTGTTCTGCCCTTAATTCAGGTGAATGAAGCACAGAGTTTGGGCACATCTGTTTTTGACATTACTTTGTAAGAGCAAACTGAGTCTGGATAGTGATTCAGAATAGATTCTGTAAGGACCCACCCCACTTTGCATCTTAAGAAGACAGAACTCTTGGAATAGCTCTTCCAACAGGAATCCTTTATTAAGAGAAAATGGTTGCAGGCATGCTAGACAGGACTTGGGGTTCAAGCTCTTCCATTCAAGGTTTTAAGGGGTTCCCCAGTAGTCCCACCCAATCAACCCCCCTTCCAGTGATAGTTTCAAGTATCACAATTCCATCCCCTTTCTTCTTCCGTCTGGATGGAGACTTCAGATAACTACATGAAAGGCAATTACTCTTCTTTGATATGTTAAAGCTTAGAGGCCACAATAAACACACATTCAGTCCTTTGAAGTGTGCTGAAGGAAGTGAGGGCCATAAAGCCCCTTTGCTCTCCCCCTTTTCTCCCTCTTATGGCAGAATCCAGAGAAGGCAGAATTGGGAGTTTCTATGTTTGATAATTAAAGATGAAATATAATTGGATTCTGACATCCGGCCCCTCTTAACAATAAGAGAGATCCACCTGAAAGAAAACACAAGTAAAAAATTTAGTTAGGCTTGTTAGGATACTCTGTGTGAAACTTCTTCAATAGCTTCGGGGCTCTGACGTGACGTTTATGGACCCACTCATTTTGTGAGGCAGGGAGGTGTTTCCAGGCAACTAGGTACTGAGTTGTTCCACGATATCTCCTAGAGTCAAGGATCTCTTTTATTTCGAAGTGTTGTTCCCCCTCCACCATGATTGGAGGTGGTGGGGGGGGGATTTTTGGCCGTAGAGGTGACTGATGCTCTCTTTTCAGCAAGCTGCAATGAAAAATTGGGTGTATTTGCCTGAGGTTTTTGGGTAATTCTAATTCTACTGTTACTGGATTTATGATCCTTTTAATTGGAAAAGGTCCTATATATTTTGGTCCAAGTTTTTTACAGGGCTGTAGGGACTTTAGGTATTTTGTAGATAAGTACACCATTTCTCCTATAATGAATGGTGTAGGCTCAACCCTTTTTTTATCGGCTTGTGCTTTGTATGCCCGCCTAGCTTCATCTAGTGATTTTCTGACTATTGGCCAGGTGTTTTGTAGGTTTTCCATCCATTCTTTCAGTGAAGGGATCGTTGGTTCTTTTGGGGTTAACTCTGGCATAGGGTTGAAACTTTGGCCGTTGGCTATTTGAAAAGGAGTGTAGCCTGTGCTGGAGTGGACTGCATTATTGTAGGCAACTTCTGCAAAAGGAAGTAAGTCCGTCCAATCACTCTGTTGGAAATTTAAAAAACATCTCAAATATTGCTCAAGTACCGACTGGCAGCGTTCCGCTTGTCCATCTGTCTGAGGGTGATGGCTAGATGTCAGTCCCTGAGTGGTCCCTAAGAGGGATAAAAATTCCTTCCAAAATGTAGACGTAAATTGCACTCCCCTATCAGAGATGATGCGTTGGGGTGCCCCGTGCAATCTGTAAATGTGCTGGATAAAAAGTTTTGCTAAGGCCTTTGCAGTGGGAATTTTTTGGCAAGGGATAAAGTGCACCTGTTTGGAAAATAGGTCCGTGACTGTCCAGATAACAGTATTCCCATTGCTTTCAGGCAATTCCACTATAAAATCCATGGCTATTTCCCTCCAGGGGGCTGAGGGACTTGCCACTGGTTGTAACAGCCCTGGCGATTTCCCTTGCAACCTCTTTGCTGATGCACAGGTTGGGCAGCTGGCAACATAACTTTCTATGTCCTTTTTTATTGATGGCCACCAAAATTGCCGTTTAATTAAGTGTAAAGTTTTTACAAATCCAAAATGCCCTGCTGATTTTGTGTCATGGCAAAGTTGCATGAAAGTTAGTCTTTGAGTTGTTGGTATATATAACTTTTCCCCTACCCAAGGCAATCCGTCTCTCATTGTGCACACATGTTTGTTTTTCTGGAACCAATCATCTGTTTCCAAACTTTTTCTGAATTCAATCCCAGTTTGGCTGTCCAGTTGTGGTTTTATTTTGGCTTGGGTTCTTGTGGTTACTGGCGCTGCCAGTTGTGATTCTGCCATTATTGGTCTAGAGTCTGTGGTTCGTGCGCTGTTATATTGGGGCATGCGAGATAGTGCATCTGCCAGGAAGTTCTTTCTTCCTGGTAAATGTTTGAGCTTAAATTGGAATTGGTGAAAATGCTGGGACCAGCGGGCTTGTTTGGGATTGAGTTTCCTGGAAGTTTTCAGGGCTTCTAAATTTTTGTGATCAGTCCATACCTGGAAGGGGATTTTGTTGCCTTCCAGGAACTGTCGCCACGTGAGTAATGCCCAACGTATCCCATAAGCCTCCTTCTCCCATACGGGCCAGCGCTGTTCTGTTTCCGTGAGTTTCTTAGATGTATATGCACAGGGTTGCAATACTGCATCATCATTTTCTTGTAATAGCACAGCCCCCACTGCCACATCACTTGCATCTGCCTGTATTATGAAGGGCTTGTCCATATCTGGGTGCCTTAGTACTGGTTCGGCAGAAAAAAGTCTCTTTAGTCTCTCAAACGCTGCTTGGCACTCCATTGTCCATGTTAGTGGCTGGCTAGGTTTTACTGAGGATGTTCCCTTCGTTTTTAGTAAGTTGGTGAGGGGCAAGGCTATCTGTGCAAATGAGGGGATGAATTGGCGGTAAAAATTTGCAAAGCCCAGGAAACTTTGTAGTTGCTTTCTTGTGCGGGGTGGTGCCCATTCTAATACTGCTCTGACCTTCTCTGGGTCCATTTCAATGCCCTGTGGGGATATGCGATAGCCTAGGTAGTCTATCCTTTCCTGGTGGAATTCGCATTTTGAGAGTTTGGCATATAGGTGAGCGGCTCGCAGCTTCTTTAAAACCGCTCTGACAAGTTTGACGTGTTCTTCTTTTGTTTCGGTAAAGATAAGAATGTCGTCCAAGTAAACAAGGACCCCCTTAAACAGGTGCTCCCTTAGAACGTCATTGATTAATTGCATAAAGACTGCAGGGCCCCCTTGTAATCCAAATGGCAAGACTTTGAATTGATAGCACCCCATGGGGCAGTTAAATGCAGTCTTCCATTCGTCCCCTTCCTTGATTCTCACGCGATAGTAAGCTTCCCTTAAGTCTAGTTTAGAAAAAATTTTCCCTTTCGATAGGTGTGACAGCATGTCTTTCATGAGGGGCAGCGGGTATAGGTTGCTTTCACTGATTGTGTTCAGGGCCCTATAATCCACGCATAAACGTAAAGAGCCATCCTTCTTCTCTCTAAAAAGGACCGGGGCAGCCACTTTAGGCTTAGCTGGTTCAATGAAACCTCTCTCCAGGTTTTTTTTTATAAATCTTTCCATTTCCTCCTTCTCCTTTGGGCTCATGGAGTATAATCTGGGCTTCGGGAGTTTTGCCCCAGGCTTGAATTCAATGGTACAGTCTGTGGGTCGGTGGGGGGGAAGCTCATTCGCCCTCTCCTCACTGAAGACTTCAGCAAGGTCCCTATATTCCTCTGGTATTTCTGTTAATCTTTTTTCCTCTCCTATGGATGCTTTTTCTATTCTTGATTCTGGTAGCCTCTCTTGGGGTTTTAAGTCCATAGGGTCCCCCTTCGGGAATTTGATTTCTGTCGTCCTCCAATTTACCCAGGGGTTCCATTTTTTCAACCATTCCATCCCTAGAATCATTGGGCATTCCATACCTGGGGTCACCACAAACGTTAAGTCCTCTTCATGGTTGCCCAGGGAGAGGTGTATTGGCAGAGTGGCTAGGGTAGCTGGCACCCCCCCTGCTATGGATCCATCTAGCTGGCCAAATGAGATTGGTTGTTCCAGTCTCCTGGATGGGATGCCCAGATTCCCCACTAGTGTTGGGCTAATGAGGCAGCGGGTGCAGCCAGAGTCTATTAAGGCTTTCACCTTCACAGCTTCGGGCATGGGGGGGATTAATATAGTCACTGTTTTGAAGATGGGTGTGATGCGTCCACTTACCAGGGGTTCGCCTTCCGAGCTGTCATCTGAGGCATCCACCGTCCCTGTGGTGTAGGCTGGAGTTCTTTCCCCTTGGTGAGCAGAGGTGGGGTTTTCTGCAATTTCCATCATTTTCATGGCTGTTTCTTTTGGCTTAGCTGAATACCCTCTGGGTTTGTTGATTGGGGATCTGTCTGGGTTGTGCTGGGGGGCCTTTGAGCGGCATTCTACAGCTCGATGCCCTTCTCTTCCGCACTTGAAACACCCCATCTGCTTCTTGGCTGTATCCGATGATTTCACCGGTTGGTGTGTCAGCTCAGGCGGGGGGCGGCTCCATTGTTTTCCTCGGCGATGCCTCTTCAATATGTCGATCTCTGCTTCCTCTGCCAAGACGTACCATTCCTCAAGTCGATGTGGGTCTCCTCGGGGCAGGCAAGCATCATATAGATCATAGTTTAGTCCGTCTTTGAAACGGCCAAGGAGGATGTCTTCTGGCCAATTCAGTTTGCTGGCAATGGCTCGGAATTCTTGTGTATACTCAGCCACTGGGCGTTTGCCCTGCCTCATCGTTGTTATTCTTTCACGGGCTTTGCGATCAGCCAGGGGGTCTTCAAATCGTCTTCTCAACGAGGACATGAAACGGTTGAAGTTACTGAGTTCTGGGGCATTGGAGTCATGCAGGTTCACCACCCAATCTGCAGCTGGTCCATCCAGGGCAGATTGCACGATCCGGATGCGGGCTTTGTCGCTGGGGATGTCCTGCCCATATTCCTCCATGTAGCTGAGGACTTGGGTTAGGAAAAACCCCAAGCGTGTTGGCTCCCCTTTGAATTTCACCTCCAACGGTGGACGTCTTGGAATGGATCGGTGCCTCCATTGTGGGTGGTAGTGTCTTCCGTCCAGATTTCCATCTGTGGTCCGGTAGGGGGTGGGAGCTCCTGGATCAGTAAATGTCCCTGGGGTTGCAGGTTCCACGTCCCCCTCGGTGTCTCTCCCTTTGTGGCTCCAGGAACTGGGGCGGGCGTAGGGCTCAGGAATCTCCTCTCCTAGGGAGCTGAGAGTTCTCTTCATCAGGTCAATAGCTCTCTCTAGGATCCAGTCTGAGTACGGCATACAGCTTCCTCCCTCTTCACTTGCGTGCAGGGATTTCTCCATCTCCTGCTTCCATTCTGGTTGCTTGGTTCCCCGTCTCAGGGTCACTTTTCTTGATTCCTTTCCCCACTCGCTTTTCTTTCCAACGCCCATCGACCAGCGAGGCTTGTGGTCCTGTGTCTCCACCACTTCTTCTTCTGAGAAATCTGGCCTCTCGGATCCCAACATCTGGCAAGGTTCCAACTGGGTCAGCGGCTCTCTTTCCAGGGAGTTTTCTCCCTCTCTTGCTTCGTTGTCTGACATGGTAAATTTTTGCAAAATCCCCCGGCAAGGGTCTACCTTCCAGGTGGATTAATTTTGCAAGTCCTGTCTAATGTAAGGACCCACCCCACTTTGCATCTTAAGAAGACAGAACTCTTGGAATAGCTCTTCCAACAGGAATCCTTTATTAAGAGAAAATGGTTGCAGGCATGCTAGACAGGACTTGGGGTTCAAGCTCTCCCATTCAAGGTTTTAAGGGGTTCCCCAGTAGTCCCACCCAATCAACCCCCCTTCCAGTGATAGTTTCAAGTATCACAATTCCATCCCCTTTCTTCTTCCGTCTGGATGGAGACTTCAGATAACTACATGAAAGGCAATTACTCTTCTTTGATATGTTAAAGCTTAGAGGCCACAATAAACACACATTCAGTCCTTTGAAGTGTGCTGAAGGAAGTGAGGGCCATAAAGCCCCTTTGCTCTCCCCCTTTTCTCCCTCTTATGGCAGAATCCAGAGAAGGCAGAATTGGGAGTTTCTATGTTTGATAATTAAAGATGAAATATAATTGGATTCTGACAGATTCCAAGTAGAAGCTCAGAGTTGAATGGAAAAAAAATGGCTAGTGGAGAAAGGGCATTAAGTTAATCTTGACCTGTTTGTGCCCATATCAGCTATTTCTGTTTCACTAAGGAAATGGGGTTATGGCATCAACCATAACTTAAGACTGGTTTCAAGACTGTGCCGGTCTTGGTTTATCCCTTAAATATAACAGACCATTTTTAACCAGAGATGAGATGAATTGGATTATGTTGAGCTCTGATTTCCTTACCTGATTTTTCTCTAATATAGCAATACAGAATACACTGTATACTCCGATACCTCAATATAAATACTCTGTGTTTCTTTGGCAACCCATCAAAATAACTAACCATCATCTCTTCACAGAAGATCAGGACTAAGGGGGCAATTAGCTCAATTTCCCCATGAGCCATACTAACTTCCATCAATGCAGCTTCTCTATTCCTCTTCAGAGGGCTGTTCTTTTATCCTTCCACAACTGAGAATCCCAAGAGGACTAAGCCATTGCAGGTATTTGTCACCTACCAGCATGGAAATCAATGCCAACAGCCAGCGAAGTCCCAGAGACTGGCACCAGTGCATCAGACTTGTCATTGGGATCTAATGGGATGCCACGGATACCTTCATGTACTGAGTAGAGGAGGAAGGAGCCGACACCTGCATGGAGAAAGGAAACAGTCACAAGCTTAAAAGTTTATCAGAAGGATAAAGAGGTACCAGGAAGTATGTATAGAATGGAAACTTTTATATGCACATAATCTCAGGTTCTCTTCTGAGCATCTGATCTCAAAAGAATTTCAATCCACGGAGCTGGCCTAAAAGCCTGACAGGAGAATTCTAGAGTAAAACAATCTTCCCTAACTTGGATCTGTCCAAGTTGTTTTTGCTCTATAACTCCCTCAGTTCCTGCCAATAGGCTAGAAAAAAGGTGAAATAGGCAATATTTCATTAATGACAACAATCCTTACAACAGCTGGGGCTGTGAGAAAACACCCCACACAAATTTTTATTACAATCAAGAAGTGACCAAGTGACCAAGACCTGTTGCAAATTTCTTGCATTTAGTATTTTTTTTTTTTTTTTAGACTTTCAGGGTCTGCTTTCCTCTACAGTCTGACAGAGAAATCATTTTCAATCATTGCTATGATTTTTCATCCTATCTTAAAGCTGTGGGGTTAGCAGGGCCAAGATTTTGGGACATTTCAATAAACGTCTAGAACTTAAGCATTCCATTTTCCCCTTAATTGTACCATTCTGTCCACCTCACCCATATTCCCACAAAAATATTGGCCCAGTATTTTGTGGGGTTTTGTAGCTTTTACAAAACGCAATGCGTGCTTAAAGTTCTACAAACCTTCATTTTAACTGTATAATTTTAGCTGTGGTCTATGTGAATGAATAAAATTTAATTCACCTAAGTGTCTCCAGCCAATTATTACTTAAAAAGATAAGCAAAGTCAATGTTGATTGAAATGTGAAGGAAAGTTTTCCCTTTGAAAGGAAGCACTGGATAGGAATTCCTAAACAGGAACTATTATTAACATTGTACTATCAATGTTGGTCTGTACAAATAGTATTATAGTAGCAATGCTAACAGGTATTCCTTTCTAGTGTCGTATCACATTCCCTGCCACCAAAATTATGAGATCGTAATCATCATCCACGGCGTTTTGAAGAGTGCTTCCCAGAGAAAGGAGAGTAGAAAGATGAATCTTATATATAAATGGGCTTTCTGAATATCCCTTCTAGAATATGCCTTTCTTTGGATGAGTGCAAAGGTTAATTGCCATATCCTGAAAATAGGAAAAACAATGTCGTATCCTATCATTTTCAGTCCTGCAATTCTATAGTTTTTCTCCTTCATATCTTAGGGCTGCATCCCACTTTAATCTATTTTAGGTGACTCCAGTGTTTTTCTCCTCCTCATCTAGTCTACATGAAAAATGAATGTGCGAAGAAGACAGAACATATATTTAGAAACACATCTCTTGAAGATAAAAGAAAGCCAGGACTGACTGCAACTTCCCATTAAGAACATATGCAATTAATGTCAACTTTGTCATTTCGTGATAGATGGATATATGGGAAGCTTAATAGAAACCTTGAAAATTCCACAGGCAACAGAGGGAGCTGCACTGCAAGATTCATGGAGGCAAACTAGCCAATTTCTAGGAATGGAGAACAATGCCTGCAGGTCCCATTCAAACAGAATCACCCCTTATAATTGTTCACCTTCACAGGATTGCTGCCCGCTCTTCAGGCTGTAGCCAGCTGTACACATGCAGGAACGAGTAGTGTCTGATGTAGGAAGGCAGAGTTGTGAGCATTCACCATTGTTCACACTGCAAGGGTTGATACCTGAAACCATAATAACGGTTAAGTGAAAGGGGCATAATTACCAGACCCACACAGTATCAAAATCCAGATTTTCTTTTGCAATCAACTGATCACATACTGTATATGATAATTTACAGCTGAACAAAAATCGAAAAAGGAATTGCCAAATAAATTTCTCCAGGCACAAACGCTTCTTAGATTTCCCCATATGACATCCTCTCCCTCCAAAATGAACAAATTAGTTAATTTTTAAAAAGCCAACACCTTCTCACACCATAACTAAATCTTGCATTTCAATTGAAAATGCTAAGTGTCACGAGCCCTTTGAGACTGCCAACAGTTTTGCAAGATTTGGTGACGTTCCCAGATTTGAACCAAACTTTTGGGTACGCACACACCGTCCCACAAGGACATGCAAGGTCGTGGGCAGTTGTACAATGACCTTAAAAAAGTGTGGTTCATTTGGTCTAAATGGTCAAAATACCACCAATTAAAAACTAGACTTCCTCAGATTTTGCAGACAGATTGTGTGGACTTGTTCACACAAACTTTTTTGTGCTGTCTGACCTAGGAATCTCATGAGTCTCCAGGATGTTTCTTTTCAACTACTTCTTCAGTCTCTCCCCTTGTACCAAGCAGAGCTGCATGACATCAGTACTTCAAGAGCCCTCCACACTCACCCTGTTGCTGGATGATCTCATCATAGATTTTCATGTGCATTACAAGAGTGGTGCTGTTGCGTAATACGACTGCGTCCGATCCATCTTTCTTGTTGCAGGTGCCCATTTTTTCAGAGGCCTGGTCAGCCCACCACAACTTATCACCTGAGAAAACGGAAGCATACACATGCCATGAGGGAACTCACAATTTGAAAAGAATACAGTTTGCTCCCCACTTTATAAATTCAGACTCATAAGATACTATTATTGACACTGCAATTCTTTTCACCATTTTAGAAATCCAGTAAACAAGTGCTTTATTGTCCCCATTTTATCAATATGGGCTTAGGGGAGAAATTGAGATGGGAAGATGAATGGGTTGTGGAATAATTATACCTTGGCCAGAAGAGTGAAAAAAAGAAGAGATGAAAGATTTTAGTCAATTACAAAGATTCTAGTTGATTAATCAAAAGAAAGTTGCAGGTCTTCCTTGGCTTAAGACAGCAATCTGGACTGGAATTGCTGTTATTAAGCAACAAGGTAATACAGTGCGATGTCACATGACTGGATTGCTTAGCAATAGCAACCCTGGCAGTATAGAGAAGAGCAACAAAGATGATTAGGTGACTAGAGGCTAAAGCATATAAGGAACGGCTGCTGGAATTGGGTATGTCTAGTTTAATGAAGAGAAGGATGAGGGGTGACATGTTAACAGTGTTCCAATATTTTAGAGGCTGCCACAAAGAAGAGGGAGTCAAGCTATTCTCCAAAGCGCCTAAAGGCAGGACAAGAAGCAATGGATGGAAACTAACCAAGGAGAGAAGCAACTAAGGAGGAACTTCCTGACAGTGAGAACAATTAACCAGTGGAACAATCTGCCTTCAGAAGCGGTGAATGCTCCAATACTGGAAGTTTTAAAGAAGAGACTGGACAGCCATTTGTCTGAAATGGTATAGGGTTACCTGCCTGAGCAGGGGGTTGGACTTGATGGCCTCCAAGGTCCCTTCCAACTTTACTACTACTACTACTACTACTACTACTACTACTACTACTACTACTACTATTGCCGGTTGCCATCATTAAGTGAGGACAACACAGGTTGTCAAGCCAGAACCTCACATGACTGTGATTTCTGATTTCCTGCTGACTTCCCCATTGGTTTTGCTTGTGGGAAGCTGGAAGAATGTTGGAAATTATGATCCATGTGCTTGCGAAAATGCCCTAATTGCAAACTGGGTGCCAAGCCAGCAGATTGTGAGTATGTGACTGAAGGGATGCTGCGATGGCCAGAACTTTGAGGACCTATTGTAAGTGCATTCATTCATCACCATGATAATTTTGAACAGTCACTGAACAAATGGTTGTAACCCAAGAACCACCTGTGATTAGTTGGACCGAGTGGCTAAAGCAATATTTTGGGGAGATATATTTAACATATAGTAGTCCTCACTTATCAATAGTAATTGGACTGAAATGTTTTGTCACTAAGCATCACAGTTGTAAAGTGCAATGTTGTGTGACTGCACTGACTTAAGACAGCAGCTCTCACACTCCTAGTAATTGTTAGGCAAACCTCGTGCAGTAGCAGCGTCCCACGGTCACATGAACTTGTCACTTGCAATGATTTGCTGGCTTCGCCATTGACTTTGTTTGTTGGATACTGGCAGTAAAGGTCACAAAAGGTAACCTCATAATTGTGAACAGGTTGCCAAGCATCTGAGTTGCAATCATGTGCCGTAGTTGCGAAAGCCGCAACTACGAGGATTGGTTGTAAGTCTCCCTCATTCAGCACAGTTATAACTTTGAACGGTTGCTGAATGAGTAGTTATTAATTGAGGAGTAATTGTACTCTGTAGCACTCGCTGAAATTTTTTTAACCTATATTAAAAATAATTAAATTTAAAAAATATGCTTCTTCATTAAAATGCTTTTCATTTGATTTTATCAATCAAATAGAATTAATTAAAGCACTACATCCCTGCAATACTGAACTAGATGAACTTTGTTCTAAATCAGCAAGCTACTTATTTTAATTTAAACCTAAGCAATGCTGGCTAGAGCTGAGAATCTTGAGGACCAGGAATGCCACATCTAATTTTTGGATTATTTCATTTAGCATATATGTAGACAGCAGGTAAACTTAGTTAAACTAAGATAGTTAAATATCAGGAAACTGATATTCCCAGTTTTGCTGTAGTATTAGCTATAACTTGGTGGTTTCCTGGTTCTGGTATTAGACAGGAAAAGTTCTACCTGTCATATCTGTACATGTAAATTAACAAAAAGATTAAAGATGTGCTGCTACACACACAATTATAAAATACAGTTATATTAAAGCATTGTTAAAAGCTTTAATAATCACGCTTTGTGCTTAGATACTAAAAGAAAGGAATGTTAACTTTTACAGCATCAGTTTATTTTCAGACTTTAACTCTTTGTAAAATGCATTTTACATAAAATAGATTGAAGAATATAGTCCCTAAATAAGTTATACGAATACTAACGCAACACATCTTAAATATATATGCTTTCCATTGGGTATTATGATGAAAACTAATTTAATTATGGAAATCACAGCCTCAATATGATACCTTTAGGAAAATAATGTAGTAATTTTTGAAGACCACAATGTTTCTGAAACAGAAGCAAAACTTTAGGAAATGAGAGCTACATTCTCTATTATTAGCCACAAAAAGGTTCTACGTAAACGAGCCCACAGAATGAGAAATACGTGCAAATTGCAGCATGGAAAAAATATATATACATTGTCCACTGTCTCTTACCCATTATAGCCAATGCTGTGGCTTTGCGCAGTTGGTTCTTCATAGTCTCCAACACCTCCAAATCGCTGCCATCGAAATTGCATCTATTGATGGTGCCATTGCCAGAGCTTATCCAGTAGAGCTTGTTTTCTTTGTAGTCAATGGAGAGCCCTGACATGAAAAGAAAAAATATATATTTTAGCATGGACTCAAAAGAGTAAGTGTGCAGGGAAGGTTGTACCTAAACAATGCCATTGGTGGCAGACCAACTGGAGGAAGGATGAATTTGTCATTTCTGATTGTTTAAACCAGATAGTAGGTCCACCTGCATTGACAACATTACGGAAATGATGCAAATTATCCCATTTCCATGAATTTTATGTCACTTTACATAATGAGACTACTACACAAATGATGCAAATGACTTCCATACCAACAGGCCCTTTTTGGTTTGTGAAGAGAAGACTACGGTTGCTTCCATCCATGTTGGCGACATTGATGCTGTCTCCATCTGTCCAGTAGAGTTTCCTATGAAACAGACACAAAGGAACCGCCTTTCAATGCTATACACTTCCTGACATTGGCTGATTTATCCTCTGGAATTGTCCCTGACATTTGCTTTACAATGTCAGGAGTTCATCTGAAATAATACTAAAAAGCTATTACCGTAAATGCCGGCGTATAAGACGACTTCCGCGAGCGCTGAAATCGGCGCCAAAGACGGGGGTCGTCTTATACGCCGGAAATACTGGTAGTTTCCGGCGTATAAGACAATGTTCTAGGAATGCAGCCTGGCTATAAAGACGGGGGTCGTCTTATACGCCGGGTCGCCTAATACGGCGGCATATACGGTAATTTAAAAGAAAGATGAAAGTTTTTGGTCTGTTTCTCAGAAACTCCATTCTATTGTTTAACACCTTCAGCATTCTTGGTTGACTCACTCACCCTTTGAGAGGATGAACCACCAAACAATGAGGTTTGTCCAGTCCCTGAATCACAGCATTCTTAAAGGAGCCATCTAGTCGGGCAACATTAATCTGTTTCTTGTTGGCATCATAGCTGGTCCAGAAAAGGTTCCTTGAGACCCAGTCCACAGACAAGCCATGGGCGTTGGGTAAATCTGCAAGACAACAGAGAATGTACTTGTTTAATTATTGTAAACTGTCCAAAGTCATGGATTTGAGATGGGTGGCTATAAATAAATAGGAATAGATGTGAAACTCAGAAGGATACAAAGAAAGTTAGGATTTGCTGCTGTAGGGGGGCATATTGTCCACTTACTCCCGTAATTCAAAAAAGAAAAAAAACTGAAAAAACGGTGGGAGTTTTGTGAGATGTCTCTGTGTTAGCATTCATACAGCCTCAATTAATCCTACAGTGATATCTGTTGATTGCAAAAGTAGTTAATCCCTGATGTAGAATAATGATAAAAAAAAAACTGCAAGAAATTTAGGTGAAGGACAAGAGCAGGCTGAGCCAGAGGGCGGGGTTAAATGTGTCATAAATTTGGAATCTTTGAGCTCCCACCAGAGACTTAAGTCCAGCCCCTTGTGAATTTCCTTTGATTCTTATCTAGTGACGATTTAGCTTTGATCATTATTTGACCAGATTTTTGTACATAGGTAGCAATAATAAACTATTTTATGCTTTAAACTCTTAGGTTTTTGCACCCGATGTTAGAATTGATTGTGATAAAATCTAAACATTAAATATTCTAATACTTTTAAAAAAGCTGAGCATCAAATATTCTATTTTAATTTAACAAAAAGCAAGTCAAAAAGCAGCACAGCTATTGGGAAGCTTTGGAAAAAAGGATAACATAACTATTGTAAGTAATTTGCACCTGCAGAAACAACTGTTTCAACGCCTGTTCCATTGATGAACGCCCGCTTGATGGTTTGTGTGCGGACATCTGACCAGTAGATACGTTGTTCCAGAGCATCATAGTCAACCACAGTGACATTGTCAATGTCAGGCACAGTGAAGGAGTTAATGTAATTGTAATATGGGTTGTCTATGTCCACACCTCGGATCTCCATCTGGCGTGCATAAAGCAAGAACTTCTTAAATTCTGGAGGTGGGGAGAAAAGGCAAGACCATGTGATGGAAACACACTACCATCAGGACTCAGCAAGTATAAAGACTATCCAAAATCTGCAAGAGTCTTAAATAGGTTATTCATTAATGGGCAGATGCATTAACCGGCAGGTATCCAATTTATACTTATTTCACAGGAGGCATTTTTATTAGTGTATTTATTCAGCAGTTCAGGTTCACAGAAGTTCCCATCTATTATGTAATTTTCTAATTAGAAGCACAAAATGCCACTCTATCCCATCACTCTTTCACTATCGTGATTTGTAGCAATTTTGCTAGCAAATCCCATAGTCCATTTTAATTATTTCTATCTATTCATGATTATCGTAGATTATTGGCTGCATTGACACAATGCTCTTAAATCAGAAAGCCAACATCAGGCTAATCTTCCTAATGGTGGTTTTAGTAGCAGACAGATACAGTAATTACATTAACAAAATCAACATTTGGGAGATGCACATTTCTCAGTCTTCATGAGTTCTGTATGAGGACAGTACTGGCAAGCTTCATGATATTATATTTCTGATCATTTCTTCCCCAACCTTGTGCTCACACTACCCAATCAAACAGGCAGCAGTGGATATGGAATGGAGAGAGGAAATGCAGCAGTTCTCAAAACTCCATAAATTGTGTTTCTCAATACAAGGTAGTCCTTGACTTACGACCACAACTGAGTGCGAAATTTCAGTTACTAAGCAAGGCAATTATTAGGTGAGTTTTCCTCATGTTATGACCTTTTTTGCAACAGTTGTTAAGTGAATCACCATAGTTGTTAAGTGGAATTGTGCAGTCATTAAGTGAATCTGGCTTCCCCCATTGACTTTGTTGGAAGCCAGCTGGGGAAGATTAAAAATGTGATCACATGACTCTGGGTCTCTACAGATGTCATAAATACATGCCAGTTGCCAAGGGTTTGAGTTTTGATCACATGATCATGGGAATGCTGCAATGGTTGAAAGTGGGGAAAATGGTCATAAGTTACTTTTTTCACTGCCATTGTAACTTTGAATGGTCACTAAATGAATGATTGTATGTCAAGGACTATCTGTAAGGCCATTTGCAGTGTTATTGCTTGCTTACATTGGGAGCATGGAAGTATGGGTATAAAAGTTTCCAAAGCATAGACTAAGGGCGAGTTTAATTTTTTTCTCAACTGAATTATTTCTAAATATGTAGCAAAAAGAATAAACAAATCAATAAAAATTTAAAGCCTGAAGAGATGGGAAAGTAACCCACTTGGGGGTTTCATTTATGCAATTTATCAAACAAGGGATTACTTTAGTTTAAAATTGCTCCTTCTTAGCTTCGTAATTCAGATGATCTTGCAGCAGTCTTTTAGAAACTGATACAAGAGATTGAGGACGTGGGTATATATTTAAACATTCTCACGCTCTCCTTCATTTAAAAGCCTGTGAACCAATCCAAACATAGTCTGGGAGGTATCGACAGCTAAAATAAATGGTAAAAGACAGAGGAAGGGAGCAATAAAGCAGTATTATCGTGTCAAGTTATCTATCTTTGCAGGAGGAGCTCCTGATTTACCCTGGATCCCATTCACTCCCTTTACCATAGCAAGTGGCATTGTCCTTATCCAGCTTCATCAGGTGGGGGCAAGCACAGGAGTAAGTCCCATTGTAGTTGATGAGACAGAGGTGGGAACAATGGCCTTTTCCTCCATTGGCCTCACAAGGATTGGGAGCTAGAAGAACAAAAAGTTTATAAGATTACATTCCTCACAATTTTGTCCTAAAGAAGACAGAATGCATAGGCTCTGTGTGGGGATGATCAGGGTACATATGGCATATACAGCCCAAGGAAAAGGGCCACTGGGCTTCTAGATCATCCAGCATCGCACTTTTTCATGCGGCTGCTGATAAAAACAGGATCACCAACATGATTGCCAACATCCGATAACGGATATGGCACAAGAAGAAGAAGAGCAAAGGTCTCCAAACTTGGCAACTTTAAGACTTGTGGACTTCATGGCTGGCTCAGGAATTCTGGGAGTTGAAGTCCACGAGTCATAAAAGAGCAAAGGTTGCCTACCCCTGCCCTAGAGCAAAAGTCTCCAAACTTGACAACTTTAAGACATGTGGACTTAATGGCTGGCTGAGGAATTCTGAGAGTTGAAGTCCACAAGTCTTAAAGCTGCCAAGTTTGGAGACCCCTTCCCTACAGCCTTGAAAAGTGCGAGTGGGAAGAAAGGAAGTGAGAGACAGACCAGGGGGAAAGCCAATCTTAAAGTCTACAACAGGGGTCTGCAACCTTGACAACTTTAAGACTTGTGGACCAGCTCCCAGAATTCCTCAGCCAGCTATGGGAGCCGGTCCACAAGTCTTAAAGTTGTCAAGGTTGCAGACCCCTGGTCTACAGGATGATTTACAAATCATCAGAAAAGTAGAGTCTCTAAGTGCAAGCACTTGATATTATGTAAAAATCTTCATGTGTATCCATCTCATTTTTAATAGTATAACTTTAGTACACAGTGAAGTGAAGCTTTAGTACATAGATATAATTACTGCATACTCATTCCTTTTTGTCTTTTCAAGGTAACATCAGAACGTAAGTTGGTAAGTCCTTGTAGTGAGTGAGTATGTATGCATGTACGTATGTACCTCTCCATCCATCTATCCATGCCAAGTATAATAATAGCACTGTTAGAATAATTTTCTTTTTAAACTTCCAATTTAGGCAAATTAGCTAACAGGTATTTGTCCAGTTTTTAGTGACCTGGATTAAGTGCACAAAATACGTGATATATGCATCTAACCTCCATATAAGGAGATCATTATCTACTAGGCCACACTTGAATGAGAATGGCCTCCGCAATTTATCAAAGAAGGGATTGCTTTAGTTTAAAGGGCTCCTCTCTAGCCTCATAATTTAGATGTTCTTGCAGCACAGCAGTCTTTCTTATCACTAAACATACTATGGAAAGTCAGTCTTTTAGAAAATGATACAACAGGGTGAAGACATGAGTATAGGATTCTGGTTTTTGAAAAATAATTTCTATGTGGCAATGGATCCAAGCTAGTACTGTCGCAGAGCAGTGTAATTAAATCCAGAATGTCTGCCTCGATTGTGAAGCTTCTGGATGAGAAGCAAAAAGAAAAAAAAAACACAAGAAAAACACAACTTCCACTGGCCGCATCATTTACACATCAGTAGAGATCACTGCTTCTTCCTGTATTCATTAGATGCAAAGACTCTCAGGCTAGACTTAGCTACCTTGAGCACAGCAATAGGTAACTGTGGCAATTATGACCATCTTCTGGTATCCCTGTTGACTTCACAAAGTGAAATCTGGCCTCATTCCCCCACTTCCCCTTCTTCCTTATCATGGCTCACCTACAGGCTGGCGAGAGGGGTGATAGACCTGCAAATCAAAGGGCTGTGTGTTGGTTCGCTGCACGACCGTGACATTGTGGCCTGTCCACTTGTTAGCCTTGGCCAAGGTATTTGTGCGCCAGTCGGTCCAATACACTTCACCACCGTACAAGGTGACAGCAAAGGGATGTGACAGATACTCATGGCCTCGAAGCACCTCAATGTGGCCTGTGCCATCATAGAGGGCAGAGTAGATTGCGTCCGATCTGTGGAAGAAGATGACAAGTCAACATGAAGACTCCCAGAAGCAGGTAGAAGAGAGATGAGAAGCAAGTTCAGAAGCTGCGTGGGAACAGGTGAGAGCAAGTAGAACTGGTACAAGATTATTTTCTTATTTTCTTTGTTCGAGTTTGTCGTTTTTGTTTGACAAAATAAAAGAAAGAAAGATATGGCTAAACAAAGGAGAAGCAAAGAAAGACAAAGGGCAAAAGGGACAAGATACATATGAATGGAAAAATACAATGTGATCAAAGGCTTTTGTTTTCTGAAAGCAATCGGGCATGGAATACATCATTCAAGGAAAGTAAGCCCAAATGCCTATTTTATGTTACCCTGGAGCCTATTAAAGTTTATTATACAACAGAATGATTTGTTTATTAACTCCTTCTACAGCAAAAAAATGCATTTAATATGCTAGCCAAATAATGTCTTACTTACTAAGGTTTCATTACATTAATAGAGTAACTATAATAATTATGCATATAGTTACTATGAAAGACAGAAAAGAGGAAGTTATTGTGTTCTTACAGCCTTCTCGGGATAAAAGACTCAATGGGATATTACAGCAAGAAAAAAGGAGACTCTCTTCTCTTTCCCCTCAATTAAATAGATAACTTTTATTGTCATTTTTTTTACCGTGGGCACAATGGCGCACATCAAAAATGAAATTTAATTGCCCACTCTCAAAGTGAACGCATACATGACGCACACCTAAACATCCTATATACAACGTATGTATAGACCCATACCCCTACATATACAAATGGAATATTAAACACTGTCCATCTTGAATATATATAACGGAAGGAGGAAGCTTGAGAGTTCACAAGGTTAATGCTTTATGGAATGAAACTATGGCTGAATCTGGATGTTCTGCTACGGATACCACGAAGCTTCCTCCCAGAAGGTAGCAAGGAAAACAGGTCGTGAAGAGGATGTGTAGTGTCCCAGATAAACTTACGGACCCTGCTCAAGCAACGCTTCTGTGCTATGTCCTGGATGGGAGGGAGGGAACTGCCAATACTAGCTCTGCAAAGTGCAACTAAAGTACTCCCAATAGGCAGAAAATCTTTTTAGCAGAGCAGGAAAAAAAATGCTTCCAGTTTTTCAATGTTTTTTGGGGGGGAGGTGGGGGTGGAAACATATCTTGGACTAAGATACCATTCCCAATTGTAGTCTGCATTACACTGGCATTATTACATTCAACACGTGATCTTTCACCACATAAAGTTATCTCTGAGGCTAACATAAGAAGGAAAGAAGAAATAGCAGCAAGGGGAAGATTTTGAAGCGCCAGCAGGCAGTGGAAATAAAAATACCAAACCCAGATTCTTACAAAGGGAAAGATCTGAGTATTGTAAGAGCATCTGGATTGGCTTCTCAATATAAATCCCCCCCTCAAGGAAATGAACTAATTTCTACCCTGAATTTCAGCCCCTAAATATTGAATACCTGGCATCAATCCACAGGATACGCTTTTCCAGGTAGTCCACTGTGAGCCCATTTGGCCAGCCGCCTGACCCTGTTTCCTTGTGAATGACACGTCGGCCCTGGCCGCTCATAGAAGCTGCCTCAATGCGAGGAAGGCTGGCATCCCAGTCTGTCCAGAAGAGAATCCTGGGGGAAAAAGTAAAAAAAAGATGCCTCTTCAACCACAGGAACATAGTTTAAGTCAGGGGTCTTCAAACTAGGCCCTTTTATGACTTGTGGACTTCAACTCCCAGAATTCCTCAGCCAGGCACGCTGGCTGAGGAATTCTGGGAGTTGAAGTCCACAAGTCATAAAAGGGCCAAGTTTGAAGACCCCTGGTGTAAGTAGTCTTTGTAACACTGCAATACTCCCTGTAAATCATTCACTCTTTGAGACACTAAACAGTGATTTGATATCAATCCTCTCTGTAACTCTCCATAGCTGTTCTTACACGAATACAGGTAAATCTTGTAAGACTATTCTTTTAAAAACAATGCCTCATTTCTACAGAGTTCAGAAAGTCTGTATTCACAGTGCTACATGGCACAATTTCCTCCATTTTTTTTTTTTTTAAAGTGATGTGAAAATATTCCAGGGCTCTTCAGTAGGCTGGATCAGTTATGATCAATCCCATCTAACTCTTATGAAAGGGCTAGGGAGGAATAAAGAGTATCCCTCTACAACGGTAATATTTTTTTTATGAAAGCAGGGATTTCTATCAAGATCTCCCTGCAGAGAGGATCTAATTCAATTTCAATTTCAATTCAATGGAGGAATGTGCAGACATTTAAGACTTGTGGACCCTAACCCTAATCTGAACACTTATTTACTTTTAAAATTCCACTAGAGAGTACATAAATAATAAATATAATACCAAGACATCTTTCTATTAAGAAATAGAAGCTTTATTTTATTTTATTTTATTTTTAAAATTTATAAGCCGCCCCACTCCCGAAGGACTCTGGGCGGCTGACAATAAAAAACACATAAAACATAACAAAACAACAATACAAAAACAATCATCCAGGGGTAAGATTTTATAAACCCCAGGCCTGCCGGAAAAGCCAGGTCTTAAGTAGCTTATGGAAGACCAACAGGGTGGGAGCGGTCCTAATCTCCGGGGGGAGCTGGTTCCAAAGCGTGGGCGCCATCACAGAGAAGGCCCTCCTCCGCGGCCCCGCCAAATGGCACTGCTTGGCCGACGGGGCCTGAAGGAAGCCCAGCCTGTGGGATCTAACCGGACATAGGGAACTGCTTGCTTATAAACAAAACACCAGCCATTCTTGATGCTAAATTCAGTGACCATGACTAGCATTCTATGGTTTTGCCCCCTTTTTTGGATTAAATCCAGCCCCTCCTAAGGATCCAAATATCTCATGAACATTTGGTTTATTGCCCCCTCCCATGCAAATGTTAAATGCAGGTTGAGGTTTGCTAATGGATTAAAAGATTAATGTATTTCATCAAAATCCACATGGACAAGTTATAGTGGTACCCAACCTTCCACTGTGTTTTTTAATCCGTTCCTGCCCATAGATTTCTCCATCGCCTACATTCAAAGTCATACCCGCATCGTGGGTCTAGGGCAATAGCACGAGGATGCTCGATATCCCCAGCCAATAAGGTGCTCCTCATTGTCCCGTCTAGCTTAGCCACTTCAATTTGGTCCAGGTTGCTCTCCACCCAGTAGATGTTGCCAGCAATCCAGTCCACAGCAAGTCCTTCAGGAGTAGCTAGCCCATATTGTATCACCACCTCAAAGCTAGTTAGGGCTGTAAAAAAGAGAGTTGGGATAGAAGCCATCAATAAATGTTCATATTATCCATCGTTCCTTTCATGGTGAAAACAGTTTTCAAAATTCCTTTCTGTGATCTAACCGCCCAAGATCTTCTCTCTCAATTAAAAATGGGTGAAAGACGTCGCCATGTGCTGTAATAACATTTCAAGAAAGAAATCTTAATGGATAATACCAAATGTTACTGAGAAAACCATCAGAACCACAGGAAACACTGTCACTTATTTAACTCATGGCCTACTACAGGTAATCTTTGACATACAACAGTTTATTTAGTGACTGTTCCAAGTTACAATACTATTGAAAAAAGTGACTTATGACCATTTTCACACTTATGACCGTTGCAGCCGCCACACGGTCACACGATCAAAATTCAGATGCTTGGCAACTGGTTCATTTTTATGACAGTTGCACTCTCCCGGGGGGGGTGTCATGTGATCACCTTTTGTGCCCTTCTGACAAGCAAAGTCAATGGGGAAACCAGATTCATTGATGAACTGTGTTACTAACTGAACAACTGCAGTGATTCACTTAAACAACCGTGGCAAGAAAGGCTGTAACATGGGGCAAAACTCACTTAACAAATGTTTCACTCAGCAACAGAAATTTTGGGCTCAATTGTGATCGTAAGTCGAGGACTAACTGTACATTATTAAGCTATTCCACCTGAAAATATCCAGAATCCATCAATCCAAATAACCAATTTGATTCCAGAAAGTCTGAAGGTCAGTTGCTATTACTCTTTATTAGATCTTAAATCAGACAATCTGAAGAAAGGGTAGTAATTATCTAAGACAGCATTCCCCACCTTGAGTACACTGTTTATATGGGCTCCAATTCCCAGTGTTCTCACCTGTGTATATGTTGGCTAAGAAATTCTCAGAATTCAGGCCAATACATCTGAATGATGCTCAAGTTGGGGAAGGATGATCTAGGATGCTGAAATGCAATGCTTTCTTCAAGAAGTATTTTACAATATATTAGCCACCTTAGGTATTAGTAAATTTATTGTAACATGTAAGTATAATCCATTCTGAGAAAGAAACCATGCTTGCTAAGTAGCTGGAGTTATTAAAGCAGAATCCATGTAACTGAGTTCATTCCAAAGAACCTACAGAAGAATTAGCTCAGTCATTTTCAGCATGTTGCCTTTTCTTTCCATTGAGTAAAATGGGAATTCATTCCTCCACTATATCTGTTATCTTTTATTTCGATATAGGCTATAATTATGTTCCACACCTCATAAATTTTGGCTTTATTAATAGTTAAGAATAGAAACTAAAAATGCACAGAAATCAAGACCCTGTTGCAAATTTGTCCCAATCCTAATATGGTAACATCTCATTTCTGACCTCATTTATAATTTTAATCTCTGGACAAGTCAAAGAATTCCTAGTTTTAGGTATTAAAATAAAGATATGCGGAAAATTAATTTCAATTTTTAATAGTTTTATTGAGAGCAAGGAGATTTTTTTCTTCAAAACAACAATCAACGTCTGAGTAACCCAAGAGATTTCAAACCTAATGGATTGTCTTCTTCTAAAAATCTATAGCTTGATGAATAGGGAGAAGGGTCAGAAAGTCCTTTAGTGGGAACATACATCCTGGTATTCTGCAATCCCTTGATCACCCAGGGCCTCATCATCAGCTCTGTTGATGCACTAATCGGGTTAGGCTCTGTTCTTTGCTGAAACAGTTGCTAGGCTGTAATTACCATTTAGGAAAGCTCTGGAAATGCTAATTAACTCCAACATAATGATCAACATTTAAAAGAAAGAAGGTACCATTTAACAGGGATTGAGCGCTGCTGTTTCTAATGGTGGACTGGTTTATTTTGGAAGGTATCTCAAGGCCTTTTCACATTTCAGCTTTTCCTGAAGGACTTATAGACCAATTTACAGGTAATCCTCAATGACAGTAATTGGACTAGGAATTGCATCGCTAAATGAAGTGAACATAAAGCTTGACATCACCCATTTATGACAGCAAAGCCTACTGGAGCTGTTAGGTGTGATTTCATGCGATTGCTATTTGTGGCCTTCTATTGGCTTCCTTATTGACTCTGCTTGTTGGAAGCTGGCAGTGAAGGCCACAAATCACAATTCACCATTGTAATTGTGAGTCAGTTGTTGAATGCCTGAATTATGATCCTGCGACAATTTTATGGGCCAGCCAAAAGTCTGCTCATTCATTCAAACAGTTGCTGAATGAATGGTCATTAACCAAGGATTACCTGTACTGAAGTACTTAAAAGACAGCTATTCAGAAAAGAAGAGAATAATTCCTTTGTTATTTTCTAAATACAAAAACATCTTCATTAAAATATGAAATCCAGATTCACGCCTTTGAACTAATTACGGTTCACAATAAAGGGTCAGTGTAATCAATCTATGGATAGTTCAGCACTGCACAAAGTACACAAAGGTGGTGATGGACAGAGTCACTAGGACCTCCTCGATTTCCTGTCAGTGGAACCTCCCTGGAAGAAATGTATCCTAGGGGATTTTACACAGCACTCTGAGACATTGGTTAAACAAGGTTTTGTGGTGGTGATTATAATAATTACTTCAAAGAGTTTTAAAGATAAAATTTATAAGATCCTTCATTCCCAAGAATCCTAGTGAAGAGGATCCTGTACCTGCCATATTGTTAGCCGCACTCGTCTGCTTTATTTGAGGGCAATGTCTCATGGATTGAAACTGAAGGCCTGCTCTGCTTTAACTGGCTTTCAATTACTACACGCAGATTAGAAGGCTAACCTAATCATTCCCCAGGATGATTTGTTCTTCATCACTGGGGCTCAGTCTGCTAGCTATCTATTTATTTCTTCTTCCAGAACTAGCAAAGAGCTTATTGTAATGCAAGAAGCTGGCAATTGTTTATAATGTGGATGTTTGGAATTTGATTTCCAATACCCACAGCTTACTTAATTGACGGTGAGCTCTCAGTGGAAGCACACCGACCACAAATGGGGCAAAAGTCCAGCCTTTCCCCTAGAACAGTGGTTCTCAACGTTTGTGTGACGGCAACCCCGTCACACAAACGTTCTGCGCATGCGCGGGGCGGTGCGCATGCGCGGCGGCGCCCCCGTGCGCGGCGCGCATGCACGGCACCCCCCGTGCGCGGCGCGCATGCACGGCACCGCCCCCGTGCACGGCGTGCATGCGCGCTGCCGCCCCCTGAGGGGAGAAAATGGCGGATCGCCTTCTTTGGCGACCCCCGAAAAATGGTCGATCGACCCCAAATGGGGTCGCGACCCATAGGTTGAGAACCGCTGCCCTAGAACTATGTTCAAGAAGATATTTTTTTTTAATCTTGCTTAAAAGCAGACGCTATACGTGCACATTGCTGATTGGCCAGGTCCTATGTCAGTCAAAACAAATTTCTATCCCTCATTTCCAAAGCAAAGTTGTACCTAGCAATACCTGAGTGCTTTTAGGTCAGCCACAAAGCAAAATTTCATTCCCTTCTATCACTTTATCTAAGCTTAGTGAACCAATGAGCCCTAGACTTTATGTCAGCTATTAAATTTCTGTTCCTCCTCCTCCTCCTCCTCCTCCTCCTCCTCCTCCTTGCTTTCCCAAGGCATGGCTATGCAGAGTACTAAGTGGCCCAACCGCTTCTGTTACTCACAACATTACATTCCTGAATTGATCTTAAATCTTTAAAAAAGAAGTGAGGACAAGGACTTTAGAAATCCAAAATAAAATGCTGACAACACCTGAGTCAAACGGTTGTAAATGAATCACAAAATAAAACCGAGGAGGCAAACTGTCAGAAGTACAGGGGGTTCTCAACTTAGGAACACAATTGAGCCCAAAATTTCTGTCACTAAGTGAGACAGTTGTTAGGTGAGCCTTGCCCCCCATTTTAAGACCTCTCTTGCCACACAATTATTAAGTGAACCACTGCAGTTGTTAGTAACACAGTTGTTAAGTGAATCTGGCTTCCCCATTGATTTTGCTCTTCAAAAGGTTGTAAAAGGTTGATCACATGACTCCGGGACATTGCAACCATCGTAAATGAGTCGGTAGCTAAGCGTCTGAATTTTGATCATGTGACCTTGTGATGCTGCAATGGTTGTTAAGTGTGAAAAATAACCATAAATTATTTTTTACGTGCCTTTTTAACTTCAAATGGTCACGAAATGAACTACTGTAACCTATGAAGGAGAATATTTGTAGCTTAGGGTGGAAATGAACTACTGTCAGTCAAGAACGATCTGTAGGGAGTTATTATTATTACATTTATCCTACATATTTTGAGAGGTGGAACACTCATTGTTTGTGGACTGGACTAAGGCAAATGAATAGCCTTAACTTCTCTGAACTTTGGTGGAAGGATTGATATTGCTCAGGTATTTTTTTTTCTGCTCAACAGAGAGATGAAACAGTCGTTCCTTCTCCTCCTCAGCTGTGAGTCACGTTAAGAGACAGGGCCCCATTATCTAGAACTGGGAGTTCTGGTGAGGTGAGGTGTGCCGACTTTCCACCAATAAACTCTACAGATGCTCAAAGGAGGGAACACATCCTACAAGACTGTCACTTTATACGCGCTTTCCCACTAGAAAAGATGCTGCCTCTCTAACACGGGGAATACTTTTTGATTGCTGTGTACATTTTCTCTCCAAAAGATAATTTTTTTTAAAAAAAAAAGATATGTGATTATCTTCACAAACGCATATATGGATTACCATGAGCCAATCTGAAGCTGAAAAACTGTCAGTAAAAAAGGATTTAAGCAGCCTCTGTTGCTGCTTTGGTCAAAAACTGTGCCCTCATCAAGCTTCTTTTCTTTAAATAAAAATATTGCCAAAGCTTTATTTTCATTTTTAATTTGCAATTAAAATAAAAATAAATAGACTATTAATTAAAATATTGAGCTACAAAGAACGTCACTGACAAAGAAGCAGTTCATCAGCTGTGCCAGAAAGGAAGCGAATAAAGCTTTTTATTTAAAAGCATAGAAGCTCTGAAAAGCTTCAGTAATATTTAACCCACTCCAATGGCCCTGTTATTTCATATTTTAGTTATCATATTTTTGTTTCCCAAAAGGTGTGATCAGCTTTGAAAACTATCTAATGAAAAAAGTTACAACAACATAAACTATATCACTGATAATAGCAGAACAAACATATGGACAATTCATTTCTTTATTGTGGTTCCATCCATGAATATAAGGTTGAGAAACAAGCCTAACTGTCCTGTTTAGAATGGACTACGAGCACATCATATTTTAAAAGTATAAACTTTCTGAGGGGAAAAATACTTTGGAAAAAAGGCACCATTCTACAGCATCCATATCTGTGTGGGGGTAGCGGTGGGATCCAGCCAGTTTGCACCAGTTCGGCAGAACCAGTAGCTAATTTTTGTTGCCCAGGCCCAGAATGGACTTCCGGTCGTGGCATCCACACAGAGAACCGGTTGTTCACATATTTGAATCCCACCACTGTGTGTAGGTGCATGCATATGCGACTTTGAGTCAGTCTTTGGTGACTTTAGTGACTGCCTGGAAAATTTCATGCCATTTTCTTGATAATATTTTTGAAAGTGGTCTGCCATTGTCTTTTTCCTGGGGCTAAAGAGGGAGTGACTGGCCCCGAACCACTCTATACTCACCTCCATTCTCATGCAATTTCCCTCGGTATATCTTGTCTTCTACCACGTCAGTCCAATAGAGGGAGCTCTGATTCAGATGAAAGTCCAAGGCAATGGTGTTCCTCAAGCCAGGCACTAAGACGCTATAATCTCCCTTGTGTAAGTCAATACGCCGGATCTCATGGCGATTGGAGAAGATGATGAAAGGTTTAAACGGGTCTAAAAATGGAAAGAGGAATGCTGATTAACTGCTGCCGTTATATTTTTTGTCATCTTCCAAACCCAGGAGCAACTCCTGAGAGGGCTCCAGTAGCAAATACTTTCACTTGAAAATAGATTTGGAACAAATTAGCTTTCAACCTTCTGAGTTTTAAAAGTCCTTTTTGCCCTTTCCAATTCTATCCGTCTCTGTTCTGCCAAGACGGTCAAGGGCTGGGATTTTCACGAACGTAACCGCTGCCATAAATCATGATAAATTATTAATAACAATCCCTGAAATATGGACAAGGGCTCATTATCCTAGTACTTATTCATGTCACAAGATAATCCGTGGACGATGATTCCCACAGGCAAAGGTCCAAAGCTCTAGCACGAGCCTCCCCTTCTTCATAAAAGAGGGAAATGAACACCATGGCTGCAACTGAACAACATGCATCTTTTTAAAATCCTCCCTCGCCCAGCCCTCCCTGGAGCTCTGGGGAACAGAGCTGTCTTTCTTTTGCCTGCCAGTGGCAACATGGCAGAATGAGGCAAGTCCCTAAAGGACAGGAACACTGCTGTGTTTCTTGACTGCGGGAAAACACCAAGCCGGACTTTCCCTTCCCTCCCGCTAACTCCGCTTTTGGTCTCTTTCCCATTCAGTTTCCCAAAAAGGCAAGAACCTTAGAGTGGCCTACTACTCTTCTCACATACAAAACAGATTCAAAGGGCCTAGCCCGCAACTCCATCCCTCATTAAGATTTTGGCTTTGCTATTTTTCCAGAAGGGATGGAATTGGGGCGGGGGGGAGGGGTGTGTGTCTGTGGATTGGTATCCTGCAGAAAAAGCCTCAGTTGTCTTCATGCAGTCCACTGCCCCCTTTTTTTTTCTAAACATGTCTTCTTCTAAAGCTTTTCTTCGTAGTACACTTTTTATGGATTGAGCCATATTCTGGATGTAGTCTTTGTCCAGCGCTTGGGTTTTGAATCAGTTCTTCATTAAAGCGAACCTTCTCGGTTCATCGTATTATTCTCCATAAAGGTCTCAGTGAATCATATGGGAGACACCGTATATTCTTGTGAAAGCATCCCTGGCCTACGGTTCCACAAGCAATTCATTTTAAACCGACAATAAGAGTAGAAGAATCACAGCGGATCAGCTCCACATACCCAGACTCAGCTCCTCAACCTATTATGAGAAGGGACATGTTTCAGAACAAAGTCAAGATTCCTTGCAACACCTGTTCAGACCCTCTACATAAGTCTGTGGGGAAAAGAGTGTCAAGAGGAATTTTCTTTCTGATGCCCAAAGTCAGATGTTTAGCAGTAATTGGTCAGAAGAAGAATATTTAGAGAAAAAGAAACAAAAGATGGTGTCTCCTCCTCGACTCAGTGTGTCCAAACTGACTGAAGGTACTGGCCGGAATGCTCTTTAAAGCAATCTTCCTCTAGATCAGTGGTTCTCAACCTTTTTAATGCCGTGACCCCCCCAAACTGGTCATAAGTCAAGGACTACCCAACCGGTCGTAAGTCGAGGACTACCCAACCAGTCGTAAGTTGAGGACTTTCCCTGCCCGGGAGCGCCACGCATGCAGAAGGGGACTTTTGGTGGGTTCAGCAGGGCAGAGACAGCCTGGACAATTCCTATTGGCTTTTGAAAGCCAATAGAATTAGACTCTATTCAAGAGAGTCTATTCTATTGGCTTTCAAAAGCCAATAGAATAAAAGGCAGTAGCACAGCTAAGGAAAAGGGGGAAAAAATGGCGGACTGCGTTGCTTGGCGACCCCTGTGAAATGGTCGTTCGACCCCAAATGGGTTCGCGACCCACAGGTTGAGAACCGCTGCTCTAGATTAAGGGATGATGCTACGTACTGTAGAGTAATGATTGTGGGTGAGTGTTCTTTTAAAAACATATTTCTAAAAAAGTCAAGTGTGATTCTGATGGATACTTAAAAGTATATGATTACACAAATACAGCTATCAAAAAGCCAAGATTGATTTCATTTCCAAGACGCTAACAGCACGCTTGTCATTTAATGTGTGAAATGTGATCCCAACTAGTATACATTTACTATCTTAATACACATTGCACACCCACTTCTTGTTCTGAAGCAGACAAAGTTTACTGAGTACTTACCCAAACTGCGACAGCTCTCACCATCAGACTCCAGCATCCATCCTTCATAGCAAGAGCACTTCACGTTGTACTTGAACTGCTCACACTTTTGACTGCACTTGAGATGCTTGGCACAGTAGCTTTGGATCTGGCAGGTCTTGTTATCAGCACCAAGCTCCATTCCTAGAGGGCATGAGCAGGCAATGCCCTCTCCTGGTGCTACCGCACAGTCGTGGCTGCAGCCCCCGTTGCCCAAAGAGCAAAGATCTGGATGAGGTCAGAAACGGCACAGAAAATGATTGGGAGAAAATTCAAGCTACTGGCTCAAACTGTCCACCAATAATTACCAAACAAGTTCCCTCCCATTTCCTATCGCAGGAAATCAGCTCCATACCACAAACACGCTTCCCATCAGGTTCACTATTACAACTAATCTTTGGATCCAATTTCTCAGTCCTCCAATTAATTAACTGATGTTTTTGAATACCATGTACGAAAGCGAATCACCTGAAATTTGCTACCATGAGGATGGACTAAGCATCTTCCACTGTACATTTGTAAGCAGGAACTTAGTTAACAATCTGTGGTCCAAAAGTTGTTTTCTACTGCTCAATCTGCAGCATCAATAGCCTCATTTTGTAATGAGAGCAATAGTCTTGAACTTTCTAACTCATTAAACTGCATAATATCCAAACAATTCACGCACTGTCTACTAGCAAGATTTTTTAGGCCTCTATATTAGCTTTATCTATGATGTTTGCCTTGTTTTTTCAATTAAATTAAAACAATATCTGTATTTATTTACGTTCATACGTTAGACATAAAGCAAACAAGGCCTATCCAACATTTACATCTCTTGCAATATATTTTTGTGGCAATCACTTTTCACAAATCAGATGAACAAGAAGTCCTTATCTTAGGAAAAATGGATATTAACTTCTCAACAGTCTTTAAAACATGCAAAGGCCTAGAGTTATATTTACCAGGAAATTTTGGGAGCTATACTCCCAATTTCCTGAGAGGACAGTGGGTTGTAAAAGTTTATTTAGAGAAAGGACAATATTGACATAAGACAGAATAATTTGTTCCTTGCCCGACACTCACCACACAGTTGCCCTTCATCAGAACCGTCCCCGCAGTCATCATTTCCATCACACAGCTTCTCAGGGGGGAGGCAGATAGATGTTGTATTGGCACATGTGTGGGAGGGTGGTTTGCACACCAAAGCCTCACAATTCTCTTCATCAGAATTGTCCTCACAATCATTGTCTCCATCGCATACCCAAGCTTTGCTGATACACCGTGCTAGAAAAAAGTCGAGACACAATTAAGAACCCACTTAATCTTTTCAATATATAATATAATCTTTAAAATTCCTAAGAAACACAAATGGGAAAGCTGGAGAAAGAAAATCTGTAATTCCTCTAAAGGAATACTGGGGAGGAGAGGCAGTGCCTTGTTCTCTTTTTGAAGATCCCCAACTAGGCTCCTTTAAGTCACAAAGCAGTGATCAGGAAAATCAGGGAAGAAAAAGAGTATAAAATAAAAAGTCAGGAGCAAATCCAGCTGTAATCTTCACAATTTCTCAAGCAGCAATGTATTGTTTTCTTACATTCCACTTCTCCATGCTTCTGGGAAGAATAAGCACACTGAAAAAGCCTCTCAGGCCTACAGATTTCTGTTTATCTGGATCAGTAAAAGATTCTAAGGGCCAAGGAATAAAGAAGATCATATACATCAGCTATTGTTTGAGCTGTATTGCATTCTACAAAGAAGTCAACTGATGTGTCTATGGAGATTCTCAGTCATCCAGGTCATGGCTATCCCAAAAGTGCTTTTTCAAGAGGCAAGTGGACTTTCTTGTTTTTCCTTGAAGATGCTTCGCTTCTCATCCAAGAAACTTCTTCAGCTCAGACTAGTTGGTTGGGAATGGAAGTATTTAGATTCCTTGTGGACAGCTGGTCTCTCTCTAAAAGAATGCAAATGACCAGCTGAGTCAGAGCTGAAGAAGCTTCTTGGACGAGAAGCAAAATGTCTTCAAAGAAAAACAAGAAACTCCAGCTGGGACAACTGGCGTGTGGTTTTTGTATGTCAAGTGACCTGTGTGCTGTGCATGTTTGGGTATGCACACAATTACCCTTGTTCATGGATAGTATTGCAGTAATTATGATGATACAAAACAATATAAGCTTTGAAGAACATGAAGAGTACATAGATCATGCTAGACTTTTTATTTAAAGATGAGAAATGCGTAGCTCGTTGATTCATTATTTAGCAGACCTGAACAGCAGACCTACGCATATTTCTTTAATAGCAAAAAAAAAAGGGGGGGGGGAGGGATAGAGGAAAATATCTTGAGTGTAGACAAATATTGCTCTTCCAATAAAGGAGAACATTTGTATTCATTTCGACATTCAGGGTTGAAACGAAGGATCGTTGGTATCCTCTGAGCTCGGTTGCTTTCTTGCAGACATTTCATTACCCAAACTAGGTAACATCATCAGTGCTAGCAAGAAAACAACCAAGCTCAGAGCACCAAAACCCCTTCAGTTATTTAGATCTTCTTCATTCACAACTGAGATAATGAGACCCAGTGCCTGTGCAAATTACTATGAGCCACACAAACAACTTGGGCCAAGTTTCAGTTTACTGCATTTTTATCTCCACTTTTTTTAAACACACAGTTACTGCCATAATAAATATGTGTGAGGGTAAATGGCTGAAAGATAATTTTATACTGGGTAATACAGAATTTCAACACAGTCCAGTACGCAGAAGGTGACATCTGGGACATTCTGTTGATGTTTATAATTAAAAATTATCCAAATCTATTAGATGGGCAAAAAAATTTGGATATAATATAGAATTGGAGAAATGGGAAAAATATGGGAAATAAACATAAATTTGACTATGTCAGAAGCATTCAAGGAAAACCAGTTGAAGATGTTTTACAGACGGCATCTTCCACCAGCAAAGCTTGCCAAGATGTTCCAAAACAATTCGCCAACATGTTGGAAATGTAAAAAGGTACATGGAACATATTATCATTTATGGTGGACATGCCCAGTTGCGAAAAAATACTGGACTAAAATAAGAAGATGGATCGAAGAAATAATAGACCAACCTATAGACTGGAAACCAGAGATCTTCTTGCTGGGTATTTTAAACAGAAAATATAGTAAAGAAATATGGTACTTAATTCTACATATAACAACGGCAGAAAGAATAGCATACCACAGTTCTGGAAAAATGAGAATATACCATCAGAGGAAGAAGTGATAAGAAAAATCCTGGACTGTGCTGAGATGGACAAATTAACAAAAGAGATAAAAGAAAAGGAAGACACAGAGTACTATCTAATATGGAACAAGTGGTACGGCTGGTTGGAGACTAGAAATAATAGAGGAGAATAAATGTGGAAAGGTCAAAAGTGGAAAATGTATGTATAATAATGTATAGTAATAATAATATGTATTATTCTTAGTATGAAGTATAGTATGAAGGAAGAAAAATGCAAATAAGAAACAACGGGGCAACAAGGACAAATATTCTAAAGAATAAGGGGGGGAATGTAAATAATAGAAAATTACCACTACGAAATTGTTGTTAAAAAAAAAGGGAGGAGTATACACTGTGTGTGTATGTGTGTTATGTTTTGTTTTGTTGGTTTAAAAAAATAAAAAATAAATAAAAAAAATTATCCAAATCTGTAATATTTCATGAAATCTGCCGCAATTTTAGAAGCCAATGCCAAAATCTTATGTCATATCGCTACTCTCAAGTGACCTCTCTTCTAATTTAGATTTACTCATGCTCATACCAGATCAACAAATGGCTATTGTTTGGAAAGGCTGCTATTCGTTACACCACGCTTATTTTTAATAAGCACTGGATACAACTGAATTTTTCTATTAAAGTGGTTTAGATGTGCACAATAATGTAGTTGCGTTTTCCACCTCATCTCTATAACACAATGCAATTTACCAGAATCCTTGCAGCCAAACTTCACATTTGGATCACAGACATGAGTGACACCCTCACAGTTCTTCTCATCACTAGAGTCCATACAGTCAGTGTCACCATCACAGTGCCAGCGCATGGGAATGCAGAGTGCGTCCAGTCGGCATTGGAACTCATCTATATGGCAGCCTCCAGGTGGGCGGGTTGCTGCAGGGGGAATAAATGAGGTAGCATGTTAATTGGGGCAGTACTAATGACTAGGGCTGGACGTACTGAAGCACTGTTAAATGGGCAAGGGGGGAAAAAAGACCTAGTATGACAGATCAGGGGAGAGATGCTCTTATCAAACTGCAAATGGTTTTCAGGCATGCCATGTTAATTTTCATCACCTTTTGGACTCATGCAGGAAACCACACATTAGCCTCGGTTTGTATGTAATTTGAAGGCACACATCATTAGCATCTGACCTTTATTCTTTATCATGATCAGATTACCCTGATTGCCATGGAATTAACTAGTACCTCCATTTCCTCATAGGAAAGATGGATCCGTTGGAATGATCTGTCCCAGATGCTAAATGGATCTTTTGGTTTCCAGAGGGCATGTGGGAGTTTCCCCAAGGACACCCTAGGGCAGTGTTTCTCAACCTTGACAATTTTAAGGCATGTGGACTTCAACTCCCAGAATTCCACAGCCAGCAATGCTTCAACTTGCTGGCTGTGGAATTCTGGGAGTTGAAGTCCACATGCCTTAAAATTGTCAAAGTTGAGAAACACTGCCCTAGGCTGTCCTACTGAAGCTTTAGTTACATCTTAGAATATGGAGGTTGCTACAACCTTGGACAGGACTATGCCTGAGCAGCCTCTCCCCTTCATTGATCCAGAATTGATCCAAGCCACTCTGGGAAGTGAAACCATGGAGGAGGCATCTTGAGCATCATTGTTAGAAAACAAGGAACAAGTCTGACTGAACACGGAGGCATCAATATCAATATAAGTGCTGAAGCAGCAATGTTTACCTGCTTTTACTGCATGTTATTAATTTTGGTTTTTCATCTTACTATTCTGGACATCTGTAAGCCACAAAGAATCTGACAAGATTTGAGTCTGTAGTTTGAGATCATTCTCAAATGCTCACTTCAGCAGCTGGCTTTTATAATCTGTAGACCAGAGATCTTAAGGCAGGGGCCTGCAGCCCCTTCTTTATGGAATGGCTTTCCTCCACCTTAGTTGCAGCGTTTTAAAACGGCTTTCAAAACCCACCAGTTTTAAATAATTTTGAATTTACATGTTTCACCTGGCTGAGAAATTATTAGTGCTCTATTCTTCTGGCTCTCAAGCCAGTTTTTATACTGGATGAATTGTATGCGATATATCTCTAATTTTATTTAAATAATATATTCCCCTTTGCAGTTTCTGATAAAGTAATAATATATAATGCAAACAATGATTATTTAAATGAGCTGCTGGGAGTGGGTGCCATATAAATTTAATACATTATTATTAATTTTAGTAATTGAAGTCATTTGTTTCCAGGTTGATGTTTTTATTTGTTAAGGTTGTTTTTCATTTCAGATCCTGTCTTTCACTGAGGAATTCACAGCTGGTACTCTGTGTTCCCTCTTTTTAATTTTTCTCTCAATAATCAGGTTTTGCAATGGGCTGGATTGAAAGAGAATGATTAAGCCATGGTTGGGACTTGGGTCTCCCAGGTATTGGCACAGAGGTGGGGAATTTCGGCCCTTTTATGACTTGTGGACTTCAACTCCCAGAATTCCTGAGCCAGCCATGCTCAGAAATTCTGGGAATTGGTCCACAAGTCATAAAGGGACCATCATTAACCACCTCTATATTAGCACAATAGTTCTACCACCACATGACATCCTATTTCTAACAAAGAGGCTATAAAAACACCAAAATCTGCAGGTCCTTTACTCTGTCCTTGGGAAATACAGCAAACTCTTTCTCCTGATGATTTAATCCAAAAATGACACAACAATTCCGAACCAACATCCGTCACCAGGAGAAGAAAGGATTTCCTGGTACGTAAGTGGGTTTATGAGGCCCAGTGCTGCAAATTTTTAAATAATATCTAGCATTCTGTATCAATGAAAAATAATTCAAACTTCACATGTGCTATAGACGAAATGTTTCATTCTAAAGGAGATATTCTCCTACAGATCTTCTACTGAAAAGCTGCAACTAACCTTGAATTGTTTTTGTTCATTGAACGTTACTTTAAGAACAAGCCTATTTTTTAACTTTTACCTTACTTCTACACATTTTAATGAAAAATACAGATTACAAAACCCACAAATAATGTATTCAAAATGAAAAAAAAGAGAAATTTTTCAAACGGAATAATATACAGAAAGTTTTTATGGACCAGGGTGTTTTGCTCAGCACAGCTCAAGCGTAGTATTTTATTTTTCCAGGGCAGATGTTAGATGTTGCTGGTGCTTTATTTTTCCAGGGCAGATATTAGAAGTTGCTGGTGCCACACAGAAGCAATTCCAAACCTCCCCTATTCTCACCCAGATTGGTGCAGTTGGCATGAGTCTCATCGCTGTAGTCTCCGCAGTCATTGTCCCCATCGCAGGTCCAATGGACAGGAATGCAGCGCCCGCTGTTGCATTTGAACTGGTTGCTGGAGCAGGAATGGCTGCAGCCAGCTTCATCACTGTTGTCCCCGCAGTCGTTGTCTGGAAACAAGAAGTGGAGGAGAAGGGCAGTCTACTGGGTTCTGGGGAGCAAACACAACCCTTCCATGCATTTCCCCCATTCCCCTTCTGAGCTAGATGCAGACTTCCTTTCGCTGATTGGCAGCTAGAAAGTCTAGAAGGCAGCAATGCATCCACTGTCTCAGGTTATCCCAATTTCCCCAAGCCTGCATAAATGGCACCCTTCTAGCCCATGCATATTCTAGCCAAACATGCTTATGCACTTCCCCAAGAGCTTTTACCACTAAAGAAGCCACTAAACGATAGTAACAGCAACAAGAATAGCAACAAAATTTATAAAAAAAAAACACAGAAACTGCATAGATCATCCCATGCACCATGGGGGAAGGGGAGTGGGTGAAGTGAAAGGAATCATATTATCATGATTATGACATTATTGGATTCCAGGATCAATGGAAGTGTGTATTTCTTAAAATTCAAAACAATGCCCATACATACATATGTATGCATCTCTGCATATGTTAGCACCTGCACTATCTTGATCTAGGATTTTCTTCTTTATAGGAAACGTCTGCTTCTAAGTAAGAATAGGCACCGATAGAGAAAATAATTTATGACTCATTTATTTAGCATTTAGCTATTTATGGCCAAGCATGGTGATGAATCAAGTTATTACTGATTATCCACACATTGTTGGATTTTATTTTGCCTGTAGCAAGGCCAGTGAACAAGACTGCTCCTACTGCTAAAATTTCCCTTGGTTTTGGCAACTTGCATTGCTCTTGAACTTACTGGACCTTTTCCAAGCTCTACAGCCCAGGGAGATATTCAAAAGAAGCATTCTTTCGTACTCAGTTAGCTTTATCAGCACATCTAATCTGATGCACTGTTGTTTAGAATACAATGGAAGCCATGAAATAGCAATAGCAATAGCACTTAGAATTATATACACTTCATAGTGCTTTCCAGCCCTAAGTGGTTTACAGAGTCAGCATATTGCCCCCAACAATCTGTGTCCTCATTTTACCAACCTCAGAAGGATGAAAAGCTGAGTCAATCTTAAAATGGTCAGGATTGAACTCCTGGCAGTGGGCAGAGTTAGCCTGCAATACTTCTTTCTAACCACTCCTTCTAAGCAAAGATATTTCAAATCACACATCCCCAAATCACAAGAGAACCTTCCCACAACTTGTTTTAGGAAGTTCTGAATTTGCATAGGCTTCCTTGCTGAGAAGCAAGGGACATTGAATAAATAGAAGAACAGCATATGTGTCTGGCTCAGGACTTCCTTCAGGACTTCCTTTTAAGTTAGTGAACTCTTTGGACCATAAGGCAAAGAGCAGCAACATTATCTGATGGCCTATAAAATATGGGAAATGATAAGTACCAATGTGACAAGCAAGCGCCAGAATAATCTTCCTGACTACCTAATGAGATTTATCAATGCCCAAACCTCCCCCAAACAAAGACAGGAAGTGCTAAGTCTTTGCAGGGACTGAAACTGCAAAAGTGACAGCTTTGGGGAGGGAGTCAAGGAGTACAGGAGGGGTGAGGTGCATGTTGATCTATGCACTAACCGTTGCCTTTTGGACAATTCTTTTCGTCAGAGCCATCCCCACAATCCTTTTCTGAAACACAGAAACCAACCAGAAAAGACAGGAAAGTGGGCATGGTGAACACATGTGCACCCACCCAATCAACACACACAAACAAAAAGAAAACAGGAAACTAGAAATCAAATATGAAAATGGAGACAAATTAGCATCCAAAGGATAGAACATGCAGAGGGGAAAGGAGGAAGATCATGAAGAGAGAGTTGTGTCAAACACAGAAAGGGAATGAGACAGAATCCATACACCTATTTTATCCTCAACAGGAGAAAAGAGATCAGGAGGGTAACCTACATTACTCTCCTGAAAGATGCGCTAAATTCTTTCTTTAATTTTCAGCTTCTACTTCAAAATCAGAATTGAAAGTTGGCTACATCAAACCATGTAAATGTGCTCAAGTCTGATTTGTGCAAAATGAGTACATCGAGTCATACAAACCAGTAATCTAAAATAAATTCTTAATCTAGTCAGATTCATGACTCACATTTCATCAAAATGATAGCTGATCATTAATATACAATCTAAACCTCCGTGGAAGGCAAACAGGCATCTTTTTTTTAACTTATAAAAATGTAATGGAGAAAGAAACACAGCCATGTATGTTTCCTCCTCTAAAAGAAAGTTTAAAAATAACAACAATAACAAAAGAACTAGCAGCAATTCAACAGCCAATTTAATACTAGAAAAAGATGGCTTCCATCTCGCTAGCATTTTGGTGGAAAATTACAGGCATTTTTCTTTCCCCATTTCAGGGTAAAGGTTTGTAGTTGCATGATTGAGTGCTACCATCCACACAGTATCAAGAGAAAACAATCATGTACTTTTCTCTTGATGTTCAAATCCTCCAAATGCAGGAGACCTTCTTAAGTGGACAGCAGCCAAAAGCAAAATTTCCTACTTACCTGCAATTTGGTAAAGAATTATCTAGGCAACATTTTGCTATTTAATTCTGTACCTGCCCTTAAACTCCAAGCTTAAGACAAATTCCACCGACTAGCTTTCCTCAAGGAAGGTGTGGAAGGATGTGGAGGCATCTAATCTTCACTTTCATTAGCCCAGATCTTTTGACAGGATGTTCTAAGTCCCTGACATTTTTGGACAGGTTTTGTGATTACACAATGTGATTAACAAGCCAAAGAGATCTTGAAGTAAGCCACATTCAAAGGGCTTGCCTGCTAAGCTTCCAGTGGGCCAAACAACATTTGACTTTCCAACCTAAGGAATACGTTGTACTTTGGGATGAGACAAGTATCTGCATACTCACCCCTAACAGAAAGGCTAGAATGGTATAGTTAAGATGATCTCAAGTCAAGATGTGAAGCTTGCTGCTTGCATTACAGGTAATCCCCCAGGTACAAACATTTATTTAGCCAATTTTCACAAGAACGAATTTATTCTGAAATTCAAAACTGCGACCAAAAAGAGGCCTCTGTAACCATGTGACTTGGATTCAGTTACTGCTGCAGCGTCAGCCATTTTTAACTCTGTGACTTGCCTGGACATTCAGGGTTACGACATTTCCTAAAGCTGGCAGGGTTTTGTTTTTTGTTTTTGGTCCCTGATCACCTGGCCAAACAATATCAGGTGATTTTTGCAGCCGGCACCAAGTTTGTTTTTGGGGGTTTTTTTGGGTGCCGTGTGGAGGATCTGCTGCTGTCTAACCTTGAAGACTGGAGCACTAGAATTGCTTCTGTTAGTACTATATTTTAAAATATTCTTTTTTGTTACTCTATGTACTGTAGTTTATTTGTAAGCACTTTGGGAACTCCGCTCTGCTTCTTTTTAAGTATTGTACTCTGCGAACTATTGTATTTGTAAGTACAGTACTTTGCAAAGATAGTTTGTTTGCATTTGCCTTGAAATGCTTGTAGAAATAAGTGCTAGCCAGCATCTAGACCAAGCATTCTATAACGTTACATTTCCTTGCTTTTATGTTGGAGACTAGTGTATATTACTGTAATTTGTAAGTTTTAAATTTAAATTGCCTCCAGAGGTTGTGGGTGCCCCATCACTGGAAGCTTTTAAGAAGAGACTGGATGGGCATTTATCAGAAATACTCTTGTGAAAGCAGTGGGTTAGACTAGATGACCTCAAGGTCCCTTCCATCTCTGCTACTGTTGCAAGCAGAGAGTTCTGTAAATCCCATCCCTATCTACCTCTGGGTAACCGGTAAGAGACTCTTAAGCACATCATGTGATGTGTTGCCACGTATTGTGACTTTTTTTCCATTGCCGGCATGGCCGGGCTGGCAGTTTGACACTCCTATTCTTAAGCTAATTAGTGACAAGCTTTTTTTAAAAAAAAAACCAAGCAACTGCAACCAGAGAATTCTGTAAACTTCCCCCCTCCCCGGGCAGCTGAAGATGTTTGAGCTGATTAGCAACAAGTGGATTTAGAAAAAAAAAAAAAAAGCAACTGCAATAGCTGTGAGCCTGCTTGGAGGCAATTTAATTCCTGGGCCAAAGGCTGCACCCGAAACAGCTGATAGGCAGCCGGTGATGGCAACAATCAATTAACAAATTGGAGGAAATTACATAAACTTTGTTCATTTCACAACCCATTTGATTCAATTAATGAATTTGATTTTAAAAATGTGTAAAATTGAGTCCGAGTCATTGGATGAATTTTTATTTTTTGACTTACCACGACCCTAATGGGCAGGCTCCATTAGGTTCATACCTCAAGGACTACCTGTACTTCCCTCTAGATCAGACATGTCAAACTTGCGACGTCACGTGATGTCGCGCAACGTATCGGAGCTTTTTCACCATTGCCGGCAATAGGGTGGGCGCGGCTCCGGTATAATGAAACCAGCCTGCGGGCCTGCAGTTTGACACCCCTGCTCTAGATGGGGATCTCTGGGAGATGTAGGGAAGAGGTCAATGAACCCCAGATATGATAAAGGGCCAGCTACTCTTATACAGAAAAAGATGAAGAAGGCAGCATGTTAAAGCAAACATTATCATGCAGAGATGAGAAAGACAGAAAACATAATTCCAAGCCCATCTTTTCTATAGAATCTGCAGTTCAGCTTTACAGACTCTTTGTTTCTGACCTTACCATTCCAGCCGACACAGAAGGACACTGCATGCAGTATAAGCTTACCATTGTCACATCTCCAATTGATATTGATGCAGCGGCCATTGTGGCAAGTAAACTGGGTCAGAGGGAAACAAGTCGGGTAGGCTACAAAGAGAAATAAGAACATTTGCAGGATGTATTGTGCATCCAGGAAGCTCTGCTGTATCAAATGGATGAAATTGTTGTGGTATCACAAGAGGTAAAGTGGGGGATAGGGAGTTTTCAGGGAGATGAGGGTTTCACTGGGTCTTCAAATGGCATTTAGAGGTCTGTGCTCCAGAAGGTGTGTGGAAGTATTGTAATAACAGCTCTAAATATCCCCACATATTTAATAATCAGTCCCTTCCAAATTTCTATCACATTAAAACTAATTTTTGGTAATTTTTTTCATGCTCCTTAGTTCCAGGTAGGCTCTCTCTTTTATGAGCCTCTTCTTGTCCTACCTTCAGGTGCTTTGGAAAATAAGTCAGCCCTCTCATTTCTGTAACTGCCCCTGAAGTACTGGAAGACACCTATCCTGTTACCTCTAATCCTTCTCTTCGCTAGATTAGGTATACCTAATTCCTTTAACCATTCATTGTACAGTTTAGTCTCCAGAACCTTTATCATCCTTGTTGCTTTTTTTCTGCACTCTTTCTAGGGTCTCAGCATCTTTTTTGTTTCATGGCAACCAGAACTAGATGCAATATTCCAAGTGTGGTGACCACTAGTGCAGTATAGAATGGTACTATCGCTTCTCGTGACCTTGATACCGTCCCTCTATAGATGCAACCTCAGACAGCATTGGCTTTTTTGGCAGCTGCAGCTCACTACTGGCTCATACCTAAATGGAGGTCCACTAGGACACCTGGATCCCTCTCACAGTTACTATTATTGAGACAGGTACTGCCTATTCTATACCCATGCATTCATTTTTTCTGCCTAAGTGGAGGACCCTACTTTTTCTCAACACTGAACTGCATTTTATTGGATAGTGCCGCTGACTCTAGTCTGTCAAGATCCTGCTCAATCTTGAGTCTATCTTTCAAAATCTTAGCAATTCCACTCAGCTTGGGGTCGTCTGCTAGTTTGATGAGCTTCTCCTCTATCCCTTCATTTAGATCAGATATTGAAAAGCACCAGATCCAAGACAGAACCTTGAGGTACCCCTCTGCATGCTTCTCTCCTTGTAGATGTAGTTCCATTGATGGCCACACGCTGAGTGTGGTTGATCAGCCAATCCCCACATTGTTCTATTTTGACAAGAAATAAGCTATGGTCTAGTTTGTTAAATGTGTTGTGAAGTCTAGGTATACTATGTCGACAGCATTTCCTTAATCCACTAATTTAGTCACTTTATCAAAAAGGCAATAAGGTTTATTTGGCATGATTTGTTTTAACAAACTCATAATGAGTTCTATTAATTCTTGCTTATTTCTAGCTGCTCACAAATCTGTTGCTTGATTAGTTTTTCTAGGATGTTCCCAGGTATGGATAGAAACAAATACGCATTTGTGTTTAGATATTTAATTATGTCTGCTTGAAATGTGTGTGAAAGAGGCAGATACAGTTTTAGAGCCTTGTATAACATATAGTTCTACTTTTTAGAAATAAAAAGTAAACACATGAAAGAATCCACAGCCTTTCTAATGTACATTTCTCTCAGACCATATGGCTGGAGATTATGTACTATAATTGTAACTATGGTTATAATAATAACTCTGTTATTACAACAAAGCACTAGTAGATTGTGAATATCCATTCACTTAGCAATACATTTACAAATGTAATACATCAGAATCCGTTTCCTCACTCACCACATGATGCTGATTCATCAGAGCGATCCCCACAATCATCATCCAAGTCACAGGTCCAAGAGTTAGGGATGCAACGGCCACTGGCACAGGAGAACTGGTTGGTGGGACACGTACGAGCTGGGGAGGAGGCAAATGGCAGTGAATAACAGGAGAAATATTACAAACAAAATTACACGCCTTCTTGAATCATTCTAATGGTGGATAGAAAAATGTCCAGTGATAAATATCATATATACAGAAATAGTTAAACAGGTCCAATACAGACCTGTTCAGCACCATATTCAAATACATGCTTTGCAAATGTGCAGAAACTACCCAGAATTTTGAGAACTGGAGTTCCACCATATCTTGAAAGTTGGAGAAGACTGATCTACAGGTTCACTTAGATAGCAAAGCAATTAGTAATAGCACTTAGACTGATATATTGCTTCACAGTGCTTTACAGCCCTCTCTAAGCAGTTTACAGAGTCAGCATATTGCCCCCAATAATCTGGGTCCTCATTTTTACCGACCTTGGAAGGATGGAAAGCTGAGGAAGAAAGGATGGAAGGCTGAGTCAACCATGAGCCAATGAGATTTGAACTGCTGGCAATTGGCAGTCAGCAGAATTAGCCTGCAATACTGCATTCTAACCACTACGTCATGACAGCTCTTACTCGCACAGTTATGTAATGAGGGTCAAATGAAGAACAGCTATCTAGTTAATTAGATGGATAACAAACGATCATTACCAGAGCATGTGGAATTAGATTCATCTTCATTGTTGCCGCAATCATTATCCCCATCACATAGCCAGCGGTTGGGGATGCAACGATTATTCTCACATTTGAAGCGGTCTGAAGGGCATGTGTGCTGATCTGCAGAATGTAAAAGCAAGGAAGGCATCTTAGGACATCACACAATGAGATCCTTCTTTCCTTCTATGTGTATGACAGTAATGTGAACTTAGGACCAAAGAGCCTCCTCCCTTGGAATAGGTAAGAATCGTGAGGCTTTGGGCAAAATTCAGATGAGTTTTCCAATTGTGGCAATGCCAAATTCAGAGATTTTATGGGAAATCTATCTGAGGTCTTCTTCCTATAATAGTACTATTATTTTCACAAAGTTTTCCAAGTTTTTTGTTGAGATTGATTTTGATTGATAAGACTAAGAAATGCTTTACTAGAAGCACTAGAAAAGTCCATACTACTATGGACGTGCAGCTGTTTGGATTTAAAGTGAAAAAGGTGCTTCAGCTCCAGCATGCATGCGCTTCCTGTACTTGTCAATCATAAAAAATAGCTGTATTTTTTCTTGGTCTCACATGCACCTTTTCTGCTTCACATTCCTAGAAATCATTTATTCAGTATGACATATGCATATTCCATGTCAACATAAGGAATATCTATAACTAGGAATCCAATTTTGGGGAATAAAAAATTTATTTATATTTTCCCAATCTACGATGTTTTCTAAAAAGCTGTCTTATACAACAATTATACATTCAATTAGTCAATTTAAGCCAGAGCATTAGAGGCTCTGAAAGATCTCAAGAAAAATGAATGTTAACCATCAGTTACTAGACTTCTGTAGAATAGAAGGCGAGGACTGAATCTTTATAGTCAAACTGTATTTTTCTAACTGGGTCCTTTGTTTTTATTTGTTTCAGGAAAAAAGGCAACAAAAGGAACAGGGAAGGGCAGAGATGCTCTTGGGAGTATTACAAGCATCCTTTTACATTCCTATGCTGTTGATTTTGACTTACCTTAAAATTAACGTTCAACTTCTCAACCTACTACATTCAATACCAAACAAAAAATATGGTGCTTTCACTGTAATCTAATGTATTAGATTTCATGGTGTCTGCTTCTGTAGATATAAATGTGATGATGTCTTCTAGTATAGAGGTACCCAATCCCTGGACCAGAACCCATTATTATGTTCAGAGCCAGGCCATGAAATCAGCGGGCGAGCACATATAACTCCACTTGAACAAGTGGCGGGTGCTTCCACTTGCACAAGAAGGTCCAGTCACACAAATGCAGCTGCACACGCTCACACACACGAACCTACCACTCACACAAAACCATCCCCTTCCCCCACCACACCCCCAGGCCAGGCCACCAAGCCGGAAAGGTTGGGGGCCACTATTCTAGTAGAATTTTGTACGTTGAGTACAACCCCTTTTCACCTTTGGAGTTCTCTATCATTTGAAAGTGCTCTGGATTCACCATACTGCCTCATGCAAAATACACCTAGTTATGCTAGCCTAGGGATGCTTGATCCCATGTATCTCATGAGAGGATGGGAATGGTCAGGAAGAACCCTGATGCCCCTCAAGCAAATACATACGGCAGAGTTCAGGTGCCTCATCACTGTTGTCCAGGCAGTCATTGTCCCCATCACATTTCCATCGCTCCTGTATACATCGACTATTCTTGCAAGCAAATTCCCCAGGCTGGCATTGTGGAGGTGGAACGTAAGATGGATTGGCTAGACAAGAAAGAACAAGGGAAGAGTGGTGTTTTAATAAGGAAGAGACATCCTCAGAGCTGAACCAGCCCCTCCTCTCAGATACTTCAGTTCTGAGGTAATCTGCACCTATGGATGAACAGTGACTGGAAAATTAAGTATCCTTGCTGCCATTCACTATAAACCAGGAGTCCCCAACCCCGAGTCCATAGACCGGTACTGGGCCGCAGCATGCCAGCAACCGGGCCGCACAAACAAGCAAAGCCCCATCCACAGGATGCAGGCAGCAGACAAAACTATGCTCCCTCCGGTCCGCGGGAAAAATCTCTCCACATAACTGGTCCCTAGTGCTCAAAAGGTTGGGGACCTCTGCTATAAACCCATTTCTCTCTTCCAGACCATCCTTCTGAAGTATCAGGGTGAAATCCTCACCCCATCTGGGTGTGGGTAAATATAGAAAGAGAAACAAAACAAAAACTTTGGTAGTCTATAGCCCAGCCAAACTGAAGTGGGTAATAAAAAGCAACTAGTTGATTTCACCAAAAATGTAATAAAAGTGCCAAAAGAAAGTAAGGTTCTCTACGCACACAACACACACTTCTAACTATAGCCAAACAATGCAATTCCCAGCCTAATCTGAGGTAATCCTCTCAGTTGGACTCTAGCCAACTTTTTCCTAAAGACCCAACCTCTTCCGGTCCAAAATGATTCTTTTTAAAAACAAAAATCTTTTATTTTTGTTTGTTTTGGTTCTTGGGGGTCAGGTGATAACCTCTGGGCAGATAAGGCTGGCTTGTTCTTTCAAAGGCCAGCTGCTCCCCACTACAAGTGGGCATGGAGATTTGGAATGGAGATGACTTTTTTTAGGACAAATGAAGGGTTAACTACAGCAGTATTGGCAATGTATGAAGGAGTAGATTTGAACTATTTTTGCCCACCACAGTCCCAATCTGATTTCTGAACTGGAATAAGAGCTCTGGTAACAGGAAGGTAATAGGAAGCTCTTGAGAGACTCTCCAAGTGGGGAGATGGGATTGTTATGTACCAGAAACCCCAAAATACATGCAATGGTAATACTCCACCCCAAGACTCCAACTTCCAGACCTTGCATAAAACCGGGAGGCTGTGAGTTCTAGTCTTGCCTGAGGCATATTGGACCAGTCACTCTCTCGCTCCAAGCTACCTCACAGATGGTTGTTGTGGAAGGAAAAGAGTATTAGATATGTTGTCTGTCTTGAGTTATTTATAAAAATAATAAAGATGGGATAAAATCTCACCCTCCCCCAGAATTAGTAATTTCAACATGCAAAGATCGTATTAGTGATGAACATGTACAGATTGTATATGTAAAAACAAATCACGAGTTTCTGTATCCCAGTTTGAGAATGTGTATGTTCTTAAAATAGTTGCTTCATGAAATACCACTGCCACCATGATGTCATACAGAAAGAGTTGTTTGCTTTTACATCTATATAAAGTAAATTCAGGCATCACAAAAAGTATTGTACCCCAAGAGAAGGCAGGGATTATGTATGACTGATGGAAAACTGACCACCCCTGCTACATCTGCACAACCTTCCATAAGAATCAAAACCCTGCAACATTTTGCATAGACAGCAATTTGCACAGAATTTCCTACTTTATATTCAAATTATTTGCACAGATGTTTAGAAGGTAAAACGATAGGTAGGAAGCAGAAATGCTTAGTGATGCAGAAGCAGCTTCTAGTACTGGACATCAAGTTGGATGGTTTTCAAGATTCCTTCCAACTGTTACATTTTAAGATTTACTTACTTTAATAGCCTCTTTTGTTAGTGGAAATAGAGCTACAAGCTTGTTGGCAGGTCCTTAACAACGTAAATAGCTACCACTCCTAAATATTTAAAGAATGAGTAGACAACATCTGAAGAATTGGGGTCCATAACTCAACTAATTGGAAGCCAAAGGAAGCCATCTGCATATAAGGTGGCTCCAGAGACCTCCTGCTCCCATCTCCATTCTTATTTTTTTTTAAAAAAAAAAAAACACTCTCCTACACTTTCAAAATTTGGCTCTTCTACTGTCCATTTCAGAAGCATGGAATTCAGGGCACCATAAGCAGGGTGCTGGGGTCATGTGCACTCTTCAGATTTACCCCATTTTTTAATCAGCAGTTTGGGATACAGAAATTACGCAAAGGAACTTTTTCTGTTGGAGGAAGAGGCAGCGATGGAAAAAAAAAGCTTCATTTATGTGGAGGTTGTATTGCAAAGTATCACAGCAGGAACAGGGGGGAAAATGTGATCACTTGATTTAGAAATCCCAATAAAGTCTGATATTTCAAATAAAGTAAAAAAACAACAACAACACAAAACCATTCTTTCCAGTTCTGCTGACACACACAAAAATAAATTCACAGATTACATTTGACTATTATTAGTACCCCATGCTTTCTGTAAAACTATGAACAAGGGTGGATAACTTCTTCCAATGAAATGGATATATTCATCAAATAAATATATTCCCCAGTTTCATTTGTGGAAAGCTGCAAATTGTGGAGTAATGGCTTCATCACCAATGTCAGTCAGGTCACATACTATTGCTGTCAAGAGCACTGGAGGCTCCAGTACTGAAGAATTCAAAGCACCTGTAGTCTGACTCCAAGAAGGTCTTAATAAAATGATACGGCCTATTAAAGTCCAGAATTCTCTTGAAGAATGCTCAGCTCCTGGCATTCTCTTATCTCCTTTCACATTTACTGAATTATTACATGGATTGTTACCTTGACAAGTGACAGAATCTGGTCCCAAAATCTGGTCTTCTGCACAGGCACAACGTCTGCCACTTGGGATAGCCAAGCAAAGACTGCTGCAGCCTCCATTGTTCACTCGGCAACTGTTAGAGCCAACTAAAAAAATTGACAAGAGGAAGCAATGAGAGAAAAACTGCCCAAGACCCGCCAAAAGCAGGGGTAAAAGAAAAGGCCTAGAAGGTTCTTGTGCAATCCAATTCAAGTAAAAGAGATCAGGAAAAAGCACTGGAAGAGCAAAACAGGGTTAATAATTTCCAAAAGAGATAAATATTGTAGTCTTTTGCAGCAACCAGCCTGACCAACTCAAAGAGGAGCTTAAAAACTAATAAATTCCATTTTCCGCCTAAACTTCACAATGCTGGAGTCACAGCTAAGTCTTTGATTTTAATCACAACATGCCGGGACCTGTCCTTCTTGGCATTCCTCCTCCTAGCCACCAGAAAATAAAAGTGCATTTAGTTCAACAAATACAGGTAGTCCTCGAATTACAACCACAATTGAGCCAAAAATGTATGCCACTAAACAAGGCAGTTATTAGCTGAACTTTGTCCCATTTTGCAACCTTTCTTGCCACAGTTGTTAAGCGAATCACTGCAGTTGTTAAATTAGTAACACTGTTGTTAAGTAAATCTGGCTCTCCCCATTGACTGCTTGTCAGAAGATTGCATAAGGGGATCACGTGACCCCCAAGGCACTGCAACGGTCATAAATACGAATCAGTTGCCAGGCATGACAACTGATTACATGACCCTGGGGATGCTGCAACGGTCATAGGTGTGAAAAATGGTCATAAGTCACTTTTTCAGTGCCATTGTAACTTCAAATGGTCACTAAATGAACTGTGGTAAGCGAGGACTACTTGTACTACATGTATAGAATGGCTAGAGGGGGGTTATTTTGCACCAGGAAAGGAAGAAATATCTGTTTTTATCTTTTTTTCTCTCAACTGGCTACTTCTGGAGCCTTCCTTTGGCTTCTTTATACTTTGCTGTGCTCTCGCAATTAGCAAATTCAGACTGACTTTTCTCAGCCATAGGCTGTTGTTGTTGTTTTTTTTAAAAAAAGATTCCAATACATTTTTCTCCTCACTTTAAACATTACACACACACACACACACACACACACACACACACACACACACACCCCTTTCCGTTACTTTTAAATGTTTTCCCAGGTGCAAGGGCACTCCCAATTCATGAGCATATTCTCATGCTGCTGGGGAATGCATATAAATTGACTCATAACTGCAAGAGAGGGACCAATTGCCTGCATCATTTTCATGAAACAGGAGAAGATTTGGTTACTGTGGGAAAACCTATGAGATTGCCCAGGGGTCTTTGCAATGTTCTCAAAGCAACATCTCGTCCAGCTTTTCACACAATTAATAGAAAAATTTAAAAGCATCAGAGTAAAAGAAGAAACAGAAAGAAAGAAAGAAAAAAAAAAGGATGGAGAAAGCACATTCAACTGAAAATTTTCTTTCCTTCCTGGTCCTTGACGAAAAAAAGCAGCAACTATATGGGTGGTCACAAAAGTATTAAAAATGAAGAAAGCAAGAAACAGTCTCCTTCAGCACTATTATTAATTTTATACAGACTACTTTTAACCCACTTAATGCATTCACTTAAGCCTATGGAGAAGGAAAAGCATTTGTTTTTACTCGGCTTAAGTAGAGAGTATGTTGTTTTAGCAAGTGCCAGTGTAATAATAAAACCATAATGGTGACTGAAATTTGTTCATTTAGAGGATAAGAACTGATCCCCAAAGTAAATACCTCTGACTCACCCACCTGATCTGGGTTTTAATTCACACAAGATCCCACTTCTTTGTATATGAAGGAAACCAGTAAAGATCTCTTAATTTATGGAGCTGCACAGCATTTTTTCCTATAAAAATCCAAGGTGTTCTTCCAATGCTCTTGTTCTCACATGAACATTCATCGAAGAGGTCACTAAAAATAAGCCTTTGTACTACAGCAAACAACGTGCTATGCATCACAATGTTCACCATAGTTCTGTTCTGAACACTACACAGATCCTTAGAGAAAGTAGTTCTGTTCTGAACTCCACACAAATCCTTAAAGAAAGTACATTACAGTTCAGTTCTAGTTTATTTTTTCATTCTGGATCCTATTCACTTTTGAAATTTCTGCAAAGTACATTCTGACAAGTGCTCATCATGGTTTAATACCTTGCTGTTGCTGAGCATCATACATGCGAATCTCAAAGAGCGGTGGGCGCTCGTTGCGCAACAGTGTAACAGCCTTGGTATTCTGGTCCAAACGAAAGATGCTACCACTTCGGTACTCTGTCCAGAAGAGGAAATGGTCATAGTGGCACAACCCAAAGGCATGACTCAACTCGCTTCCATCATAAACCATCTGCCGCAGGAGAAAGATAAAGACAAATAGAATATTTAAGACAAGCAATCACTTAACCACCAACATTTTTGAAATGCATCTTTTCTGAGAGCATTGCCATAGGACAGTGGTGGCGAACCTATGACACGGGTGCCAGAGGCGGCACTCAGAGCCCTTTCTGTGGGCACAAGCGTGCGCCATCGCCCCAGTCCTAGGCCTTCAGATGGGTTTTATAAAACCTTTTCGCTTTAGGCCTCTGCCACCGTGTACACACAAAAAGAAGGTTCAATCAATCAGTCAATTTCAACTTCTCGCGGGAAAAAAAAAAGATCTTGCAAAGTTGGAATTGATTGATTGAACTTTTTAATCCCACCCAGTCTGCTGTTACCACCACAGCCACGCCCACCCAATGGACCATACCCACCTGGCACCCGATGATGCATAAGTGGGTTTTGGGTTGCAGTTTGGGCACTCGGTTTCTAAAAGGTTCGCCATCACTGCCATAGGACCAAAGCAATGGGTGAAGGTTGGGAAAAGAGAGAGGGAGATATAAATAAAAAATATGAAAGAAAGAGGGGGGGAAGAGAGGGGGGAAAAACTAGTTTGGTCTAGTGGTTAAGGCACCAGGCTAGAAAGCTGGAGTCTCTGAGTTCTACTCCCGCTTTAGGCATGAAAGCCAATTGAGTGACCTTGGGCCAGTCACTCTCAGTCCAACTTATCTTCCAGGATTGTTGTTGTGGGAAAAATAGGAGGAGGAAGGTGTGTGTTGGATATGTTCGCCACCTTGAGTTGTTTACAAAAATAATAAAGGCAGGATATCAATAAATAAAAATAAATATTGCAAGGAAGAAGAACTGCCCCTGAAATGGTCAAACCACTAGCCTAAATGGCTAGGTGTTCTTGTAGCAGCAATCCTAATTTCTGCTGGGATTACAGTGGTGATGCTAATGCCACGTTGATCAAACTTGAGAATTTGTCCCCATTTTTATTTTGGCCTTGAGTCCGTGTCAACACCTGACGACTGGGTGAACACATTCTTGCAGTTTTCTTGGCAAGATTTTGCAAGAGGTTTGCCATTATCTCTTTCCTAGGGCTGAGAGAAAGTAACTGGCCCAAGTCACGCAAGTAGCTTTGCGCCTATAGCAAAGACTAGAACTCACAGTCTCCTAGTTTCTAGCCTGATACCTTAATCACTACCCCAAACTAGCTCTCGAATTCACATTATGTAGATTGCTCACAAACATCAATGAACTCCTGGACTACAAGGGGATCTAAAGCCACAGCATCTCCTTCTTGTGGGATAAAAGGCTTACAAGTTGCCGAAATACCTGCCAAGCATATATTTACCTGGCATGCCAGAGCAAAGAGAAATTATGTTAATTGTTCTTGTAAAAAAAAAAAAAAGTCTAAAGGCAGGACAAATATTGGCCTGAGCAAGCGGGATGTTTCTCGGGACTTACTTGTTTTTGATATATTGGAAATATTTGTACAAGTTTACATAAACCATAAGCCCAACTGTGAACAAAACAGCTGGAAAATAAAAATGCAATTAAAAAGTCAGCATGCTTAAACTGTTTACAATTTTTAGGATGAATAATTTGGAGAGTGTGGGGGTGTGGAAGAGCAGGCTGCTTGAGAAAATTGTAGGCACCTGTGCCGTCTTAGGGCTCTCCCATTTGAGCCTTTTTCCCAGTGTCAGCACAGCAGAGTTGCCAATAAAGCAGCAACCGCTTCACAGGCGTCAGAGGATTATCACCATCCTAAATAAATACTAACAATTGTAAATAGTTCAAACCGTTTCAAAGTGTGTTCATTGCTCTTCCTTTTTGCCTTAAGTACTTTCTACCTATAACCATTTTTGCTTCCTTTGGAAGCTATACACCATCCTAAAGTGAGTGGCTCCAATAATTCAACTGCCTACAAAGGCATTTGAAAAGATATCGATATGGCACTGAGAAAAAAACATATTGGTAGCTGTAAGAATCGTTCCATTTGGGTTCAAGCCCAGAGAGGAACAAGCCCAAAGCTCACACAAAGAACAATTGCAATCAAGAGTGGTAGAAAGAACAACTGGTGTGCAGAAATAAAGACAAAAACTGGCATTGACCTTGCGTTCTGTGCCATCCAGCATGATCATCTCAATCCGATCATAGTAGGCATCAACCCAGTACAACATCTTAGAGGGGATGTCCAGGCTCAGCCCATTAGGCCACAGCACGGTCTTGGAAGTGATGAATACACTGCGATTGGTGCCATCCATCCAAGCCTTTTCTATCTTTCCTCTTTTACTGTCCTTTGGATCTTCTTCCCAATCTGTCCAATACATCCATCTAAGTGAGAAAGACAGGAAAATTAAGGTGTGCAGTTTTTTAAAATTATTATTCCTTTGTTCACCCATAAATAACTGTTTGCTGGTCATTTTCTTAAAAACAGTTCTCTGCATGGACTTAAGTGATCCTCTGCAAATATTTGATCAAGAGGGACATTTTGCAAAAGAATGAAAGTTCAGCCCCATGTCAGCTCTTTCATTTGTGCCTTGATCACAGATTTGGTGTTCAGTTCTTGCTAGTCTGCTTTCAAGAGAAAGTGGTATCAAAGCCATACAGAAACAAGGATATTCTGTCCACCCTTTGAAATCACTGAACAAGATTTTATCATAAAGAGAAGATAAAAGAATAACATATAGGCAGTGTTGCTCAACTGAATATCTAAACATGAATAGTCTACTAATGTATCTTCTAAACACAAGAGAATGGCCACTAAAGGTTGTGCAACAAAATAATATCATCATCATCATCTTCATCACCTTTAAATAGTATCTTCTCCCTAATGTCCCTGTTTCTACTTCCTCAAGTAAATTTTCCTTACTGGGTAGTATCAAATCCAAGATAGCTCCTCCACCTATTCCTTCTTCCACCCAGTGAAGAAGATTGTTAGCAGCACATTTAAGAATTTCTTGGAAGAACTGACTTCTGGGGAAGCAATGGCAGACTTTCTACCCTGGATGAAAGAAGCTTAAGGATTAAAAGAAAAAGGGTTTTGAAACAGCAAAAGGGGTACCAGAATTTTGATTTTGGAAAGTTAAAGGCTAGGTTATAGGGTTAGAGCAGTGGTTCTCAACCTGTGGGTCGGGACCCCATTTGGGGTCGAACGACCATTTCATAGGGGTCGCCAAACAACGCAGTCCGCCATTTTTTCCCCCTTTTCCTTAGCTGTGCTACTCCCTTTTATTCTATTGGCTTTTGAAAGCCAATAAAATAGACTCTCTTGAATAGAGTCTAATTCTATAGGCTTTCAAAAGCCAATAGGAATTGTCTAGGCTGTCTCTGCCCTGCTGAGCCCGCCAAAAGTCCCATTCTGCAAACGGTGCTGCACCAGTTGAATAGTCCTCGACTTACGACCGGTTGGGGGTCGTGGCATTAAAAAGGTTGAGAACCACTGGGTTAGAGGGATTTGAAAGAATATTTCCTGTAGGATATTTCAATTTTTATTAAATATATAAAGATTTTGAAGTTAACTATAAGAAATCCTCCCATGGGATAGTTCTGCTCATTGGAAAATAAGCATACTGATGACTAACCAGAGGATTACAATTAAAGGAGAAGAGACTCAACAAGACAATAGAGCAACACTATTAGACTTTAGAAAGAATTAAGACTGTTTGGGAACTATAACTCAGAGATCACTTACAAGATTGAGACTGTAAAGATGGGTTTAGAAGAGGATATAGAAGAATAGTTTTCTTTAACTGGATAAGAGAGAAGCTGATTTGAATGTGAATTTGAAAATGGATTTTAAAAAGCCAAACTACAAGAGTGATATGGAAAAGGATGTCACAACGGATTTACACTTGAAACCGGCTAATGTCTTAATAACTAAAGAAATAATAAATCAGAAGAATTATTTGGAAAATCTTCTTATCTTGGCTTTACAAAGGGGACGCGTTAAGCTACCGAAGTTGTTTCTAAAAGGAGACAAAAAGAAAATGAGAAGAAATCAACGTGGGAAAATTATTTGATATGATTAAAGATCGAGCTTTAACAAAAATTAAAGGAAGAAATATAAAGTAAACTTATTTGACCAAGGTTAAATATACATGTGGTAGTTTCCGGTAGCAATTAAGAGAATATCTTTTTGACCAAGTCTGTTAATAAATAAGGAGAGATTTTTGTTGTTGTTTTGCTTCATATCTTAAAGGTAGTGATCAGTTGAAATACAAGATGGATTTAACTAAGGTTAAATACATAAACATACAACCACATAAACAGACTCAAACACACACAGTATTTCTGCCAGTTTTTAACAGATGTTTTCTAATTAGGACTGAATGATGAGCATTTATAGTTTGATTATTAAGGGATGAAATATGGGAAGAAGAGAACTTTTTTAACTGAAATATTAGTGAATATTATACTTGTCTTGGAGAAAGGGAGAAGTCACATACACACAACACACACATTCATATTGTTTTTTATCTCTTTGAATTTCTCTTTTTCTTTTCTTTATTTTTTGTATTAGTTTTTAATCTCTGTATTTGTAAACTTTAATAAGATTATTTTTAAAAACAGAATTTCCTGAAAGAACCATAATGGCAGAGGTTGTTTCCTGCGCAGCCCCAAGCTTGCCTGCCTGCTATAAGAGAGATGGATTCTTTTTCTGACAAGGGGAGATTTAGATCAGAAAAAAAACATGCATGCCCATTTAGCAATCTTTCACAGATGCATTTAATTATAAAGAAAATAAAGTTATGGGAGATCAAGCATGGGCTTCCCAGCATAATGTAGTAATGTGGTCCTAAATTACCCTCTTGTCTTCTGTCCCATTTTTCTTGTCACTGTTATGTACTGCCCGCACAATCATATAATTGAATGATTTAGACCTTTTCCAAGCTTATGTTAAGGCACACATAAAAGTGTAAATTATAAAGATTACAGTAGCATAAAAACCTCTGGAGACAGAATTCCATTAGAAGAAGAATGAGGATAAAAATATCATACATGAATATTAGAAAGCTGGAAAGTAAAAGCAATGGAAATCTGCATAATAGATGCCTTGCTTGCTTGAGTTTTGCATGATATCTCTAGAATTTACTATTCCTGCAGACACATTCTCCTCCATTTCCCCAAGCAGACTTCCTGATCCCCTTAGGAACCACAGCCAGCAGAGACCCACCCATTCAAGGGATCCACCACAATGGCTCGTGGGTGAATCATCCTTTCTTCAATGAGTGTCTTCCTGGTCTGGGCAGCTTTTTCTAGCCGGGCAACACTGATGGTTTTCTTGGGTCCGTCATCAGTCCAGTAGAGATTGTTCCCCATCCAGTCCACAGCAATGCCTTCTACGTTATGAATGCCTGGAAGAAGTTAAAGTGAGAAGTGTGCTGAACATGATCAAGCCAGGCAGATGAGGATGTGTCACTGAAGGCTGATGTGAACGCAACACAGAGCCATGTGCTTTGTTATTAAGATCACTACTGAAACTGAAAAGTCACGACAGATACACTCATAGCACCTTATTATCTGTCAGAAGTTCAGTGGCAGAAATCAGTCTTCAGGTTTGTACCTACAAACATTATAAGGAATTTAAGAAGCGTTTAGAAAAAAAAAAGTTGAAACTACACAATGCTGTTCTTTCTGGTGCATAGTGATTGGCTTACATTCAGAATAAAAGTTATGTCCCCAAATCCAAATTTACATATCAAACCCTATTCATTCTATGTCCCATGTGCCACTTTACGGGAAAACACTCTAGCATTTAACATGCTAAGGTAGACATTCAATGAGCAAAAACTTTGCACACGTACCGTCTTTCAGAATTGTTTCCCGATCTGTTCCATCAATTTTCTGTCGGCCAATCAGGTAGCTGGTAGTGTCAGCGAAGTAAATGAAGCTGGTCTCTGCGTGGAAATCAAGGGCTCTGGGGTTCATCAAGTTTTCAATGGGGATCATGTGTTCATCAGGCACTTTGGCTCCCATGTCCATCCCTCGAATGATGCCTGGCCGACCTTTGCCATAGACCAGGAAAAGCTCGTGCTCTGGCTCTGGAAGATAAAGAGAGGAGGAGGAGGAGGAGGAGGAGGAGGTGGTGGTTACATTTGATTTCTACCCAAACTCTGCAAAAAAGCAACATGTCACAATAATAAGTATAAAAACAAAAATGACGGCAAGAAGATAACCCATAAAAAAAATAACAATGACAAGAGGACAACCCATACAAAAAGCCTCTCTTAGACACTCGACTTCAAACGACTCTTTCCAATAAAAATCAGGTGCTCAACCTGGACATGAGGGAATGGAGGCCTCCTCCTCCTTTTCCACTCAGCCACTTGATATTCAATAGTACAGGGCTATTTCTGAATCTGCAGGCTGCAGAAAGCAATAGGACAGGTAACTGAAAAGACAGAGATGCTGGCAAATATAGTGACCCTTCCCCTTTCAGAGAGCACTGTGGGTAACGGTTTAGTAACCGTTCAAAGTTTCAACGGCACTGGAAAAAAGTGACTTATGATCATTTTTCACACTGGTAACCGTTTGGCAGCATCCCCCTGGTCATGTGATCAAAATTCAGACGCTTGGCGACTAGCTCATATTTATGACGGTTGCGGTGTCCTGGGGTCATGTGATCACCTTTGGCGACCTTCTGACAAGCAAAAGTCAATGGGGAAGCCAGATTCACTTTACAGCTGTGTAGCTAACTTTAACAACTGCAGTGATTCATTTAACAACTGTGGCAAGAAAGGTCGTAAAATGGGTCAAATTTCACTTAACAACTGTCTCACCTAGCCACAGAAAGTTTGGGCTCAACTGTGGTCATAAGTCAAGGACTACCTGTACTGTATTGGCAACTCATTTACATTCATTGAAAAACAAAGAATTCAGATAATCAGTTCTGGAAAACACAGATAATAAATAAAAAATGTAGCGTTTCCTATATTCTAAGTCCCAAAACAGTTATCTGGGAGAGAGAGAGAAAACACCTGTAGTTGATCTTTCTTGTTTCAGCATGTGACACATTTTATATCAAGTTGATAGACTGTAGTTCCCCTCATCACCAGGGATCCTGGCTATTGTTTCCCGGGATTCTGTTGTCACTCACATTAAAATAATTGTAACAGCAAGAATAATATTATCATTTAAATTCTAGACAGAAAGAGTAATTTGGCATGATGTGTAAAGTCATATACTCAGTTAGAATTAAATACTCCGATAGCAATATTTGGAATGCTCTGGTTACATTTTGAGAATTGTTATGAGCAAAAAACGAAAGTCAGGTGGGATCAACAGGGCTATAGACATGATTATATTTCCAATGATTTTGGAAATGTCTAAAGCAACACCAGCAAGAAGCACAACTTTGCCCACTTATTTTTTTTTGAACAAAAACTCCATCGTTTATAACAACTTGACAGATATTGAGGCTACTGTGTGGCTAGACTGGCATGGCCAACAAATAACAATTAAAGTCCCCTGTACGAAAATTCCCAGAACTAAGTGAGTAGAGAACTAAGGCCACAGAATCATGCAGGTATATTTTTGAAATCTGAAATTTATTAAAACTTTAGATTGATTAAAAAAGATTATTTGACCCAAGCCAAAACATGAAATTTTTAATATACTAATGGCCAGAATAGCGAGCACAATATTCTTTGCCTTTGCTTTGCTGTTTTGGTCATGGGTTTTTGTTTTTGTTTTTTTTTTTGGGGGGGGAGGGGGGAATCTCTTCCCCTACAGAGGACATTGCTGCTGTTGGAAATTGTTATTACTACTCCAGTGGTATCTGAATTCAAGTGTTTAATGAATAGGCCTTCATGAAAATGCTCCTGTACAGGGTCTCATTCATATTTTATGACTGTGATTTTCTTTCTACAAATCAATAGAGGATCCTCAAATTAAATCTCCTCTGAAGTGCATGAATCTTCAGTATTCTGTTTTCTTTTTTGCTTCAATCCCTACTCCTCTCCTCTCCCCAACTCTTTGTTGAGAGAATCCTTCCCTTCTTGTTTGGAGTGACTCCAGCCCTTCCTTCTACGGCCAGTTCTCACTTATTTCCTCTGTCCCCTTTCCATGCTGAGAAACAGAGGAGTGAACCTGGGAGAAGAAGACTGATCAAGTAACCTAACTCTCATCTCTGCCTGCCGATGATAACAACTGGGTTTGCTAAACACTCTTAGAAACTGAGATAACATTTAAGATATCTTTCAGCTGGGATCATTTTACACTCTTCCCCCCAAAATTAAAATCCATTTCATTTCTGTTCACATCTTTTTATTTTTGTTTTTTTATTGCTCTGATGACAATTTAAAGCAAGACGCCAAGGAAAATGACCCAGTCAAATTGATAAGATTAACACAGATTCCTCTGCAGTTCAGCTGTCTCCCAACCACCACACATTCTCACTTTTGCATGCAACTCACTTTTGCAGGACTTCCCATCACTGCCGAGGCTGAATCCTGACCGGCAGCGGCATGTCCGCGTCTTGTGACTGTTCCCAAGGAGACAGATGTCAGAACAGCCGCCTGGTTTTCCAAACTGGTCCACTTCACAGGCGTGACTCCTCACTAATAACAAAGAACACCCCGGTGTCAGTTCATGTCGACAGGTTATTTATTTCAGTTGTATTCTTTTGTGATATTTAAAGATTGGCAATAAGCAATACAAGGGCATGTAGAGACATCCTTCGTGTTGTACCGTAATTATACAACAGCAGAGAATTAATGCCTAGAGCTGAATTGTTAGAGATATTCTAAGTCAACACCTGTGTGAATTTTAATTTATACATCTATTCATACTATGTTTTATTTATTTAGTGTCTTCACTGTTGACTCCTAGCCACTGTTTGCTTGGCAAGGTTTTTCGGAAATGGTTCGCCTTGCCTGCTTCCTGGGGCTGAGAGTGACTGACCCAAAGTCATCCACCTGGCTTTATGCCAAAGGCAGGGATGCAATTCACAGTCTCCTGGTTTCTAGCCTGATGCTTCAACCACTAGACCAGGGGTAGGCAGCCTTGCCTCTTTTATGACTTGTGGACTTCAACTCCCAGAATTCCTGAGCCAGCCACGAGTCATAAAAGAGCCAAGGTTGCCTACCCCTGCATTAGACCAAACTGGATCTCAACTGAAATATTGCACAATGTTCACAAATTATAAGTTCCTGATTTCAAGATGATTTATAATCGCAGCATCTCCTTCTTGTGGGATAAAAGGCTTAGAAGTTGCCGAAATACCTGCCAAGCATACATTTACCTGGTATGCCAAAGCAAAGAGAAATTATGTTAATTGTTCTTGTAAAAAAAAAAAAAAGTCTAAAGGCAGGGCAAATATTGGCCTGAGCAAGCGGGATGTTTCTCGGGACTTACTTGTTTTTGATATATTGGAAATATTTGTACAAGTTTACATAAGCCATAAGCTTAGTGTTTAGAAACTGTGAACAAAAACAACCGGCAAATAAAAAGTGCAATTAAAAAGTCAGCAAGCTTAAACTGTTTACGATTTTAGGATGAATAATTTGGGGTGTGTGTGTGTGTGTGTGTGTGTGTGTGTGTGTGTGTGTGTGTAAGGAAGAGCAGGCAGCTGGAGAAAATCGCAGGCATTTGTGCTGCCTTCTTTCCTTCCCATTTGAGTCTTTTTTCCCCCCCAGTGTCAGCACAGCAGAGTTGCCAATAAAGCAACAACTCTGACACAGGTGTTGAAGGGAGATGCCTGTTTTGGAGCTTTGTGGCCACAAGCCAATGCAATGCAGCAGCCAAAAGCAAGAAGGTGTTTTTCCTTCAGAGGGAGTGGAGTGAAAAGAGTGAAGTATAGAAGTCCACTAAAACAAAACACAATGTTAAAAAAAAAAAACTAAAGACCTGTACATACGTCATGACCACTGACAGAAAAACAAGAATTTCAGAGAAGGGACTTAGGACAGAATAGGCTTAAGAAAGAAATGTTGATGCCTACTAGTAATAGAGTAATAGGTGATTGTAATATAGGTTAATGAATAGTAGTATCGTAAAATATTATATAGAAGAAGGGTGGGCAATTAATTTTTCCAAAGGGCCACATGTACATTTTTTTTCTCCTAAGCCAACAAAGTAATAACTTACACAGTTAAGATGTGTGATGTAAATTTGGTATGTAAATGTCTTTATAAAATGCAATGTCTTTCTGACATTCAAACTGTTTGTATAGCTGAATATGATTTCTGCCGTAGTGCATAAATGGGTTGAGTCTGAAAGAATATGACTGAACTAAAGCCACATGGGATCTTGTGGCAGTAGAGACATTGGGGCCAAAAATTTCTGCTTTGTTCCTCACTTTCTTAATCATAAACTGAAAAGAAAATTTCATGGAAAAATATGAATAAATCCCTTAGTACTTCAACATCATGTAGAAAAAAGGATATTTGCATATATCGGAGCATCTCAAAAGCAGAAACTTCCATATACTTTGGGTGTGCAATAATATTCTTTGATTCACCTACTAGGCTGATGTAGATAGTTATCTTGGTTCACCTGCAATAAATATGTTCCTCAAGTTTAAATGCCTGGAAAGATGACTTGTTAGAATATTGTTGGATAATTCTTGCGGGGGGGGGGGGGCTGACTGAGGTTTCCAGTTCCAGAGATCTGGTTTCAGAAAATGGCCAAATCACCCCAAGATCAGACAGGCCGCTATGTTCTGCAGGACCAACACAATGTTCTTCCTGGAATTCCCTGCAAAGTTTTCTCCCCAGAACGGAACAATTTGCACATGCCCAGAAAATTCTCACAAAACTCAGCTCCCACTAAATCTAGAGAAGAAGAATGCAAATTAGACTTTCAAAATCCTAGTTAATCAGCAGCAGTCCCCAAGAATATTTGCTGCAACACTACTTAAGAGTTTCCTGACAGGCAGCAATAAAAAGACTTGCTATCTTAAACATTAACAGGAATTTAATGCAGGTTTATTCTGATTATTGTTTCACTTTTCTTCACAGGTCAAGATTCCTAGAAAATGTAAGGAATAAAGCTGATGAGGCAGGAACCCAAATTTCCCAGATGAGACAGAATCATTACGCCAGGGGTCTTCAAACTTGGCCCTTTTATGACTTGTGGAGTTCAACTTCCAGAATTCCTCAGCCAGCATGTCTGACTGAGGAATTCTGGGAGTTTGAAGTCCACAAGTCATAAAAGGGCCAAGTTTGAAGACCCCTGCATTATGCAAACACTGAGTGGTTACATCCCAATTTCGAGGTCAAAAAGAGAGCAGTCAGAATTTCCATTGACCCAAAGAATGGTTTTTGCATGTTCCAGATAGAGTATCTTCTATGTGCACATAGTTTCTTTCTTATCCATAGTAAAATAACTAAACTAGCTGTATCACCTCTGTGAAGCAAGTTCTCAAATATGGAATAAAACAGTCTGGACAATCTTGAGTTACATTATTGTGTCTGAAGCTACCAAGAGTCAGAATGATATTGGCAACACACAAATTAGGCAGAGAGAGTCTAACAATAAGGATGTTTAGGACTAGAGCCTTATTGTAGCGTGAGTCTTTAGGATATTTAAACTCATTCTTAAAATCTTCACCACAACCAAATACATTCTGTTTAACAAAATCCATCTGTCACTTAGCTAACCTCATTAAAATGTTGCAGTTATAAGCTGAGGCTACTTTTTCCAAAGCCAAAGTTTTTGTTTTTGAGCTTTGGTATTATATTCTTGAATTCCCTTTTTAAGGTCATAGCTTGGAACAACCAAAGAAGCACTGAAGATGGACGATCCGGATGACTACACTATAACAGGACCATTTGGTTGAGTTGGGCAGCTATAGAAATTGAATGACCACATAAACAAACAGAAACAAGAATGTACAGTAATGGCTCTGATCACCACATGTCTAGCTATTAGTATTATCCTCTCTTGAATTAAAATTATTATAGATAATCCTGCCAAACATATTTTGGTTTATAATTCTAGGTAATTGCACTGCAACAGAGGAATATTCTGAATGGACATAGTGATCCTTAACTATAACCATCTGCCTACGAAGACGTACATATTGCAGAACAGCTGTTCTAAAACTGTCATGAAAAAAGTCTCCTACCATTTTATTCAGATCAACATACCGTATAATAGAGGTTCCATGAAAACAGAAGGGAGGTCCAGAGCATCAGGAAAGCAGAGTGATAAAGACTTCTCTATACCAGTGGTCCCTAACCTTTTGGGCATCAGTGTTTCGCATGCTGCAAACAAATCCCATCACAGTTTTTCCCTTATCCCCAAACATTATAGACTTCCCTTATCTACCTTTGGGTTGCCGTCGCTGGTGATAGACATGTAGAGCTCCACCTTTGTCCACCCGTGTTACCACTTGGAAGTCGCTACTGTTGAAACGATTGACCCGGATGACGCTAGTTTTCTGCTGAGTATTGGCGTTATCAGAATTGGTGGCATACAGGTAGTTCTCAAAGACAGTCAATCCGTAGAGATGCTCTATCTACAAACAACAAATGTGGCTTTAAAAAACTGATGGAGACTAATTGGGTAGAAATGAAGCTCTGTTTCCAAAACATTACAATTTAGATTCAAAAAAAAAAAAAAGGACCTGGTAGTCTTTTCAAATTCTATTGATGCTCTATATTGTTTATAATCCCTCTGTCACAAGCTCCCATCATTCCACAATCCTCTGAGACAGATACGGCTAAAAATTGAACTTTACTGCTAAGCAAGAACTGGATATTCTCTGAACTAATCTTTATCCATTATAGCGTACTAGGTTTTCCTAACAGTGTATGTGAAAAGAGATACCTATTGTATAATAGAATAACAATGTTGGAAGGGACCTTGGAGATCTTCTAGTCCAACCCTCTACTCAAGCAGGGAACCCTAAGAGATTGTTGTCCGATCTCTTCTTTAAAATCTCCAGTGTTGGAGCACCCACAACTTCTGGAGTCAAGTTGTTCCACTGATTGATTGTTTTCACTATAAAAATCAACTCATCAGCTCCTTAGTGCCTATAGCCTCAATATCAAGACCAACAATCTTGGTCCATTAGCTTTGGACCATCCCCATCAAACTAAGACAGCATGATGAAGGACTGTGAAAGCCGTATCACAAAACATTTGGAAAACACTTCTTTTTTTATTTATCTATTTCTTCAGAATCCTACTCATCAGGCTATAATTACGCCACAACATTGGGACTGCATACCCAATACAACTTGAAGTCCTGCCAATGATATGATAAGAGAGGAATGTATCAGGTAGCTCAAGAGCTACACATAAGAGTGTCATATTCCACAAGATCCATGTCCCTTGATCCAAACTGCACTCACCAAAATGCCCTGGATAATTGTATGTCGATTTTTTCCTTCATAGTCCACAACTTCAATGTAGTCAAGGTAAGCATCAGCCCAATAAACAAGCCGATTGACCAAGTCCAAGGTGATACCATGGGGGAAGACAATTTTGGTGTCCACCAGTTTTGTACGGTTCTGCCCATCCATATCACAGCGTTCCACCTTTGGTATCTGTCCATAATCAGTGAAGAAAAGCTTCCTAAAAAGTGAGGAGGAAAGACATGAGATACTCTCCAAATATAAATGAAAAGTAAAGGAGATGCATAAAATAAATAAGGGGGACTAGCAGTATCATTATATAACTAGTTTTATTAATGAAATCATTTATAAAACTATAAAAATATACATATATGAATGCTAGGGATTGCCACTATATACATGTGGAAAATATGTGTCTGCATATAAGCTATCTCTGAATAGATGTAATGGGAACTGATAATATCTTGGTGTGTCAAAATCCAATGTGCAGTTTCAAACTGAAGCTGGTTTATTTTCTATAGGCAACAGTGATACATGTACAACTCGGCTTTTATTTCTTGTTTCTCTGTCTCTCTCCCTCCTTTTTCACAGACTAAAGCCTCTCCCCCAAAAATCCCCACCAAAATTAAACAATTGAAAGTGTTATATAAGTTAAATAAATTAAAAAAAAACCTCTCACAAATCAATATATAGAGAATGGATCCTTGCCTATGCTTTGCTTCTTCTCCTTCTGTTAGAACTCTGACTTCTGTTTTTCTCCAAACTCTGGTCGAATGTATACATTGTTCCTAAGCAGTAGCAGTGATGTGTGTGTGTGTGTGTGTGTGTGTGTGTGTGTGTGTGTGTGTGTGTTTTCCTAATTTATGCATATAGTAACACATTCATTCTCGACTCTGTTTTCAGACCTAACATCTACAGTAGTTTTCACCCCTCTCTTTGGGGTGCGTATATGTGTGTGTGTGAAACACTAAGCATGCAAACAGGTTTAAAATAAATGGAAACTGGGATACGGGCTTGTATCTATCTAAAGAGAGGAAATCTGAACAACTCTACAAGGCAACTGCTGAGGATGGAAATTATTTAAATTCCCATTTAATAGTACAGAAGCAGAATTCTATTCTGAATGGCGTTATTTCACACATACTGGGAAGAACTTCCGTTTTTCCTCAGATGTGAACATCATGAGGTAGATTGTGTGAGTTTTACAATACCCAGGCTTTAATTAAACCACCCATGAAATCTCTGGATTGCAAAGTCTTTAATTAAACACAGAAAAACAAAAAAGTCTCGTGCACTTCCATTTCTATGGAAGCATATCAAAAATGCACTGCTGGGCTTCCTGTGTAAATTGGAACTCTACAGTACTCGGTTGGACTTTTTGATTAAAGGCAGATAGGACACAGCTGAAAAGGAGAACTGACTTCAAAGCTATTCTATCTACCAGTGGGCCATGATCCTTCAAGTCATATCTGGAGCATATGCATATTCCCCAAGGGCTGCCAGGGCAAGAATTTTCTTCCAACTAGTACTTTTAGAGCAGACTTCTTCAATGTCGTGTCCTTTAGATGGGTTGGCCTGACAACGTCCAGGGACTGCAGCCAAAATTTATGCTGGCTGGTAATTCTAGGACCTGTATGCCAAAATATCTGGAGGCAGCAGGGTGGGCGCTTAAATAATACGCTTGCGTATTTGTGTTTTTTAATTACTGGTGGGACAGAGCTGCTTTGTACAAGGCTTCACGGAAGTCAGGGAATTATCAGAGAATTATCCACTCAGGTGGTAGAGCTAAGGCTTTGGAAGGGGGGGAAATGCTATAGCTCCAGCCGCCTTCAGCTACTAAAGAATTAAAAATAGATTAAACTGCATTTTGTGAAAACCAATTTTTCATATTTAATATGCAAATACCCTTTATATGCAGGGAAAGCAAGTTACATACTAATTTTTTTAAAGCTTGTCTGCAGTTGGGTGTGAAGTCCTTATAATAAACCTACCTTTATTGCTTTGTAGTTTAAAAATCTAAGCAGCCCAAATCATATGTTCCAACTGGAAAGAAGTCCTATTGAATCCAGTGGGGTTTTATTTCTAGCTGCTGAGATTACAACCTTATCCAGAGACCAATTGCCTTGCTTCTCTGTTCTGCAGGCTGCAATCCTGCACTCATCCATTGGGGAGCAAGCTCCATGAATTTCATTATCAGCAGATGTGTCAAGTCATGCTTTTAGCATTTGGGAGTTGGCTAGCAAGGTTCTCAGGGAAGAAAGGAAAGTAGAACAGGACTTTTTGGTTGATCCACTCCAGAAGGCAAGCCATCCAGCTTCCATAAGCAACAATTAAAATGAAATTGCTATAGCCAACAGCCAGAGAAAAGTAAAAAGTAGCTACCCTTTGTCTCCCCATGACTAAAATTTAGGAACACATTCAAAGAAGGGTGTTTGTAGCAAAAAATGAGTTAAGAGAGAAAAAGACAAAATAAACACTAGATGGCAGTCAATGGTGGGTACATGAGGCCATTTCCAAATACTGCTATCTTTTAGGCTGCAACTGGGAAAAAAAAACCCAGCAAATTCAGAAGGGGGCCTCTTGAATATTAAGTACCTACAGAACAATAAGACTGAAACAGAATGCTGCAAATATATAGGCATACATGCGTTGTATGTAGAGTGACAATGTCTTTGGGAACAAAATCTCAGAAGGCAGATAATTACAACCATGTAGATGTGGACCTCGCATTTAGCATAATAAAATACTGAAGAAATGCATCAAAATGCAATTATTCTGAATGTCTTTCCCATCGCCTCATTATTCTCTCTTCCTCCTGTCCTCCCTTGCCCTTTCATACACAATGGCCTACACTTCTTCTATCAAGAAGGCCATAGCTGAATTGAAAGAATCTACTTGTGAATAAACATGTTTGAACCCTAACCATATATGGTTGGACAAGGCACATATGGACAAAAAGTCCAATTGTACCTCATGGGCTAATAAGAGAAGTAAAAAAAAATCCAGACAATCAGGATTTGAATTGGAAAAATTGTAATGTGATAGTTAAATACATTCCCTGAACCATTTGCACTGTTATCACCACCCATCTTCAAACTGGTTCTCAAAGGTACACCTGCATAATAAAATATGTTTCTAGATCATCAGAGTACAGAGGAGGGGAAAGCACTGAGGGAAGGAGTAAAAATATAGTAATAATAAATTCATAACAATTGATGTAACCAAGAATTGTATTGTAGTGCCAGAGATACTGGTCTTATTCTGCCTTATGGCAGGACCAATCCTGGTAGTGAGTATTGCACAGGCCATAGAAGTGGTGCTGTTGTTCCTTTAGCAAAGAGCTGGCTTATGACAGCCTAATTTATGCAGACAAATGCAAAGCAGACTAAAGATTAATGAGATTTTCAGGATTAGTTTAGAAAGTACCACAGGCTAGTGGAAATGCTGTTTAAGGTGAGACGGAAATTCATGAGAGAATTGATGTTAATTGAGTCTTCAGAACAAATCTGAAGGAAGTATGGTAGCTTTATGTGCAAAGGAAGTGCAGGTTTCCATCACAGAGTACTGCTAAACAAAAGCAGAAACAGGTAAGTGGGAGAACCAAACAAATGAAGTCATGATGCAGAAACTTTTCCATGGACATAAAAAGATATCATCAATTAACCTTTGGCTGTAGATGAACATCGTGTGTGGGTGCTTGTATGTACATAGTACTGCAACATTCTGGCACAAAGAACGGGCAATCCCTAGATGTATTCAAATTAGTATCAGCTACAAACAATGTTGAGTTGATTGAGAGACTTAATAATGACTAATACTTCTTGTACAAGATGACTTTCCTGTTCTCTTTCTCCCTCTTTTTTTTTAAACAAAACAGCTCTTCAAATATGCAGCCACCCATAGATACATTGCCCATACAGTAATGTGCCACACTTTCTATGTCACATCAACATTTTCAATTGTACCAAGTATGAGTCAACATTCAAATGTTTCCCTATTACCTCCTTCCTCTTTCCATTAACATGTCACCAAAGGCAAAGAGCTGACTATAGTGATTCCACTTGCCAAGGAATACAAGGGTCAAATGCAATTGATCCCTGCATCCAATATGCAAGAAACACTCCTTATTAAACCTCTGGCCTTAGAGATTGTGCAGGAACAGCTTCCAAATGCTGGAAAGCAACCATATATTTCTTTGGCCAATGGATATTATTAGAGATAATTCTGAATAAAATGGGCTACGTGAGAATAGAAGGCTATTGAGATGGCAGATTCGTCTTAACAGACTTTTAAGCAAAAGACAGGTGACCGCTTATCAAGTATCCTGTAGCAATTGGTTTTTTGGGACAGATGTAGATTTAGGAAGAACACAGAATCAGAAGTTTTCTTCATCCAATCCCCTGGATATTATGAAGTACATTAAAGATAAGCCCTATAATCCACCAGCTCTATCACTCACCAAATGATGATTTAAATTGGAAATTATCACTGTTTTCAAAATATAAAATTACTATTCCCTTTGAAACATCTATAACTCTGCTAATTAATTATTTCAGCTAAGATTTCTAATTGCGTGATAATTCAGAAAGGGACACTAAGCAAAAGAAACACTTGCTGTTTTGTAGCAGCTGCTTACCAGATAAATTTGGCACTGACAAGCACTTAAATTAATTATTCAAAGGAGAAAGTGATGATTTTGGAGAAATGGTCAAGCATAAAAAAATGTATTTAGGTATATTTAGGTTTCTACCTGGACAAGATCTTGACTTGAAAATCACTGAGGAAATCCCAATTTGCATCTATTAAACTGTAATTCATATCCTTTGTGTTGCAGCTTCACGGTTTGAATTTTGTAATTTACACCTCTGCCGAACATGACTTTAATAAAATTAACTGATATTAGAAGCATGGCTGAAGCACAAGGTGTGAATAGGCCTGTTTGAATGCTCTGGATATAATAATCCCAAATTTCAAATGAACACAAATTCTCATTTTTGCAATTTCAGTTGGTGAAAGACTTGCTAAAGCTTTCTTATTCTGTCCATCACAAGTTTTTAACTTATCACTGACAATCTCAATTTTGGCATGAGCCATGTATCTGCAATAAGTTTGCCACTCGTCTTTCTGAAACAAGGAACAAAAAATATTTTGCAAAGCAAAACTATTAAGATAACTATAATTTCTACTGTAATTTGCTTCAGGATGTGTCATATATTCATT